ATCGGTAAAGGTCTGCTCAGATTATTGCCTTTTTTTCTTACCCTTCCAACCCTAGTGCTGAACAAATGCATCTAAGCGCAATTAGAGGCGGTTCCAATAAGTGGGCTCCTGAGAGAGAGAGCATCCCTAAATTTTCAATGTTAACATTTTGTTTTCCTAAATTTTCAATGTTAACATTTTGTTTTCCTATAGGGGACCTGCCAAGGATTAAAACAAATATCTTTGGCGGTGGGTTGGAGGGGTGGGGGGGGGGGGCGGTGCACTGGGACCCCCATAGCCCACGGACTAGTTGTCATGTGCATGATGAAACATTTATCTATGTTGAATTTCATTTCCCACTCACTTTCCCATCTACAGAGAGCATCGAGGTCACTTTGGAAGAGGTGGCATCTGATGGTGAATTTATTTCACCAGTAAGCCATCGTCTGCAAAGAGTCTGGGTTTTTGAAGACACTTAGGATGGAATATCGTTCACATATAGGAGGAACAGTAGTGGCCCTAAACTTTGCCTTGGGGTACGCTAGCTATAACGTCGGCAGATGTAGCGCTTTCCCCCTCCAGTACTATACTCTCTGTGTGTGAGATGTTACGAAGCTTGAAATTCAATTGTAAATGTTGTCAGTAATCCCGTAGTGCTTTAGTTTAAGAAAAAGTCGTTGATGAGGGACGCGATCAAACGCTTTTGAGAAATCCACAAACACCGTGTCGATCTGTTTACCTTTTTTCCACTGTGATGAGCAATGGGTGTCACGGCCTCTATTTTTCCTAAACCGTGTTGGCAGTCAGTTAGTATTTGGTGACGTTCAAGGCGAAACATGACATGACGCCGGACGACGTGTTCCAGAACTTTGCACAGAACAGACGTTATGGGGCGATAATTACTTGGGCCGCTCCGATCTTGTTGCCCTTCTTAAACACCGGAGTAACATTGACATTAGTCCAATCATCTGGAAGTTGGCCCGAGATGATATATTGATTGAAGAGAGCTGTCAGTAATGGTGCTAGTTCACAACTGCATTTCACTGAGAATTCTGTAAGGTATATCATCTGGACCTGCCGCCTTTGATGGATTTAATTCATGAAGAAGCTTCGGGATACCTTCAGATGTTATTTCAAGTGGTTCAATATCAGAGAAGATCTGCTGAAGATTGGGAAGCAGTGTCCTCCTGCGTTAGACTGACTTAAAAGATGAATTTATGGTGTTGGCTTTCCTGGTGTGATCAAACACTGTCTCACTGCCGTTCTGTAGTAGGTGAACACCAACATTGTCTCTACGTTTGGATTTCACATATTTCCAAAACTTCTTTGAGTTGTTCTGAAGATCCTCATCCAACATAATGGATATATATTGCTCATGAGCTTTATTAAGGTCTTTCTCACTTGTTGTCTTTCACTGCCGGTTTTTCGACGGAGTGCGGGAGAGAACCTGGGCAAATTAAACAGTGTGGAGGAAAATTTTGATGGAATATATTTTCTGTAATATATTTTATGAGTGTACATTTCAAGCGAGTCCAGTCTCATTAACAGATCTTGATTGAATTTTCCTGTAGGAAGCTCACCCCGAAGGTAGCCAAGTTTTTAGGAAAATCTTTTTTTTTTCTTTTGTACTAGAAAAACTTTCTGCGGGCTGGCTTTGGTGTTTGACATCCAGTGTTAACATGATTGTTCACTATGCTGTGATCTCCTATTCCAGGCAAAATTTGGATAGAATCAACGATAGTGTAATTGGAGACTAAAAGCAAATCCAGGATACTGTCATTACTCGTTGGCTCGGTCAGAAGTTGTTCAAGGCCAAACGAGTTGCATTTGTCAATGAATTTCTTACACTGGGTTGCAATGCTGCTTCAAGTAGAAAAAGATTTATCAGACCAATTTATGTCCTTGAGATTGAAGTTTCCGGCCGCCCAACCAGATTTTACAATTTCTTTTCGTCGACTGGTGGAGCTTGGATAACGATGAGTTACATGCATATCAATGGGTTCATGTGAAGAATCAAGGTTGTAAAATGCTCCGACATTAACCTTCTTCTTAGGGCCACACTCAACGTGAACCAATATGCAGTCAAAATCAGAGTTCAGATTGTCAATAAGATGAGCAGAAAGATGTTTGATCGCACAAGTTAAAACCTCTCCATATCCATCTAGGCGGTCTTTCCTGAAGTCTGCATGTTCAGGGGGAAATAAGTCGGCACAAAGGATGGAATTATTGAGCCAGGTTTTTGAACCAAGGGCGATGTTCGGTTTTTGGTCTTGGAGAAGTACCAACATTTCTTATTTTTCAAGCTTGGGAAGTTGATACTGAGGGTTGTAAGCTTCTTTGCTCTTGTATCACGAGTGGTAGATGCTTTCGTGGCTTTTGATTACGGGTTTGGACCAGTCTGCACATGTCTGAATACATGATTTGATCCTCTCTGGGCCCGTTTTTGGGAGGACGTTGCGAGAGGTTGATGTTGGTTGTCACTCAAAGATTGATCAGAGTCTATCGGGCTGAAAGGATTCTCATCCAGTGCTAACATTAATCAGAGAGTCAGATTAGTTTAATTTGGGTGACCACATTTTGTCACAAATCCAGGATGAACTTGAACTTGCGAGTAAACTGTATGTTGCATATTCCCCATACCAATACAAACCGGATGATTCCATTTTTTCACACTTTTCGCATTGGATACTCTTTTCCGGAAAGTATAGCAACAAAAGTATATAACACAGATGTTACAGGGTGCCGGGGGGTCATCGATCTAGGAGTTTGATGGAGGGCCTGGGTTAGGGTTTGCATCATTTCCAAGTCCAATAATAAGAACGTGAGTCCATGACAGACCTCTTTTGGTTTTGTGAGTTAATAAGTCGTTGCGTGGTAGAACAGTAGCAGCATAGTTGTCAGCAATACCAAACACAACATCATCCATGTAATTCTGACTGGCAAATTTTAAGTCTATGGTTTTACTTACAGTCTTGTATTCTTTATCACTAATGCGAGCAAGTGCGAAGATTAAGCCAACAACACAGAAGGTGATGGTAAATTCCATATTTATTCGTTTCAAGTCAGGCTGAAGGTCCAAGAACAGTCAAGTCCCATGTAGATTGCACGGTGACGTCGATGTTTATTTAAAAATGGCCGACGTACACAGTACAGATCCATTGCACAGTGTTCATAAACAAAGTTAACAATGTCATAACAATACAGAAAGATTGTAGACAATAAGCCGATGCGCGAATTTTCGAAGAAACACAAAACCGTAAAAATGCGATACAAGACTAGGTTGGCCGGGTAAAACGCACAATTAAAAAGATTAAAGAATTTAAAATCCCCCACGAAATGAAAGATAGTATAGCTCTGTCACAGCGCCCTCACTCTTTTTAAACAGGAAACGTCTAGATTTTTAAGATTTTCTTCCTAGTGAAAGGGAAGTCGAACTCAGAACTCTAATCAACCAGATCATAGGCAGTAAACTTACAAAGTATAAATCTAGGAACCAAAACTGATTCAAATCCCTGCGTAACGTCATGGACTCAATTCCTGTAATGTCGCAGGTATTTCCAAGAAAACCCCCGCTAGTCAAGTTTGTAGCTTTGACACCAACTTCATAGAAGCAAAACATCAGTATTTCATGGGGGGGGGGGGATTGTGACTGAGCCATTTATGGGTGTATATACGTACGCACGCCGTGTACAGGGCGAAAAATTAACGTCACACAACCCGAGGATTTGCGGCCAATTTACAGCGAAAAGCAGTCAGATGGGCTCAATAAATTTTAACAGAATGTCCGCTGGTACTCAAAGTTCCATTACGCTGCTACCATTTATATTGTGGGGTTCTTTTAAAATGAATCTATTTTCAAATTCTTTTTTCATGGCCTGAACTGAAATGTTACCATATCCTTCTGAGTTGATTTTTATAGCATTTTGGGGGAATTGGTAAGCAACGATCTCGACCAATGGCTGCTGGAGGCGGGGTCCGAGGCTATCCAGTTGCCATGGCGACCGGACTGGGCTTGGTGGTTGGTCAATAAAGCAAGGCTCCGCAAAATGAGTAAGGTGCTCAAAATGAAATTGAAGTTATAAGAAAAAAAATATGGAGAACCATACATGTAATATGTTTGCAATGAACGAAAGACAATGTTTCATAATTTGGTAGTTGTTTGTAATTTTAAAGCATTGTGCAGTTGTGAGAACAAATATAGAAGGTTTGCAGATACTGAAGTGAAGTAACTGTCTAATAATAATATGGAATAATTGATTCAACTTACATTGCACTCTCTCCACAAATACTGCATCAGACATCAGACTTCCTTTCCCTCTATCCTATCTTCAACATTTGCCGAAATGTTCCAATATCTGATTGTGATAATGTGACCAATGTGAAATCAGATGGCTTTAGGAAGGAGTGTTACTTCTTACTGTGAGCAATGGGGGATTAGGGGAGTAGATGTATCTTGTATTATGTTCACTTGCGCATTGGTCTTCATTTACACTTGACACACTATAATGCAAACAGCAAAAAAAATCTCAATTTGTGTATTACTGTACAAGTAATAAACAACGTAGGTGTGGTTGGAAAATGTGACAGAGTCAGTTTTTTTTAACGCAAATACTGGGTTTTGAGGCATTGAAACCTTTCCATTTTTGAATCAAAAAGAGTACAGAGAGTGTACAACTGTAAACGATTATTTCACCAAATATGAAAGGACCCATTAACTTATTTCAGGTCCAAGATACAAACTCAAGTGTAGAGTAAACATGTTAGCAAACAAACAAGATAATGAACTGTACATGTCTGTTGCATCTAGCACTTGCCCTCAAAAACTCCCCATAAAAAAAACATGTCACCTTATATGATGATGATTATGTGTGTGCCAGTGCCGTCTCTCTGGGATCCGCCCCCTCAAAAGCCTATTTACTACTTTGCATCTTCCAAATGAAAGCACTTTTCGTTATTATTATCAAAAGTTTGTCAAGTCAGAACTTTTTTGCAGGTGCGCAAATCCCGGGATGGGGCCACAAGTAGAGGGCGTTGGCATCAAATCCTACGATGTTTTGACACATTTTGGTGCCTTCCCGGATGAACGTTTTCCCTTTCTCGTGGTATCGGTGAAAGACGAGAGACGGACCCCCTACGATGTTGTCTTTGAGTTTGTAGTAGAGCTCTTTGCTCGCTTCATCGATGAGGCTGAACGTAAGGAATAGGTAGTGCAGTGACAGGCCCGGGACCGAGATGGCGCATTTAAACATGTCCATCTGCCGCTCTCTGTAGAATGCAAACATCTTGTCTACCGCATCGAGAAAGGAAACCACGTCAAGATTATTGTACCAAACGAGAAAGTCTCGTACATTGGACATACCGTGCTCCTTCCACACGATCTGGCAGTACTGGTATTCCTCCTCGGATATGTTGCATCCCTTTAACTTGCTGTAGAAGGCCTGATGGGGTGGAAGTGTCTCGATTACAAGTTTTTGCAGATCATCTACCCACTCGTACGGGAAAAAGCCTTTGGTCTGTGGGCAGTCGTACGCCTTTAAGAATTTCGCGTAGCTGTATCCGGGAGCAAGATAATTCGTAATGTCGAGAAACTTCAACTTTTCGGTTTTGAGGGCCATGTACGTGCTGGTTCTTTTGATGATCAATTTTAGAGGATCTGTTTCTTGAAGCACCGGGTACAGATAACGCTTGATGACGTTGATATCGTACTTCCCAGAGTTGAAGCCCAGTACCGGTACCTCGTGAAGATATTCGTCTAACTGCTCCCTTAGTTAGTTGATGTGCTTGTGCAGTTTGCTCTGCGGCGTTGACTCGCTCTCCATCGCCTCATTAATCGTCTCGCTTCTCATCGCCCTAATCATCTCATCCAACTGCTCGAAAATGACTTCATATTTCTCCAGAAGTATCTCGTACGCAGCCAGACTGATGGTATGTAAGTAGTCGACCATGTCTGATACCAGTTCACGCGGGTTGCCGTTACTGACAAAACACCGTGGTGCCTCGTAGTCTGGAATATTACTGGCGATGCTGACACTCAGTAACTCGTGGCGTGCTTCCCATCGCAGTTTTCCGTCTCGCTGGCGCATTGAAGGAGATACGGACTGGAAGTAGCATTCGTAATCGAACGTGGCCCTGAAGGGGTAATATTTCATGTCCTCCTCTACATCTATGCCGACTTCGGATAACTTGTCAAAGATTGTAAAAGGCAGTTGGTAAGAACCCCCACTGAATTTATGTTTGATGTTGACGTCACAAGTGAGTTCGTGACGTAGGAGATCGGTAGACCTGGTAGACACGGTGTAGCACTTGGAGCAGGCGTAGGATCGGCTGTACTTATTCAGATCGGAAATATTGGAAAAGTGGTTTCCCCACAGGTTGAGGTACAGAGTATCGGGATAGCGGCGGTGAGAACGCCTTATCAGTTCCACCTGTATCGTAGCTTTGTTCGGACATTGTTCCTCCCCTGTCATCTCATCAGCCTCGTTCTCGTCACCATCTTCGTCATCAACCTCTGCCGGCAGCAGTGTGTATACTTGCACATTCACCTCGAACACCACCTCGGCAATGGCCAGCTCATCTAGCGTTATTCCGTCTACCCGATCTTTGCCCGCAGCCTGGCGGTATGTTTCGACCAGATGATGTACTGCTTTTTCAGTCGAGTGTGAATTGGTTCCCCTATGCACGGCCAGGCAACGAAAGAAACAAAAATTGTCATCAAACGTGTTTCCGGTGTTTGTGTTTCGGAGTAAGTTTGTCAGACCCAGATTGTTAACGACGTATGGCGGAAGTTTCTCTACGGGTGAGCCGATGGGAAACTGCGGCATTTTGTTGACGTAGACCATCACGTTGGTGGTTGCTGCAACGGTCCACTTTGTGTCGGGTCGACGCAGGATGCCGTACTGTAGTACATCAGTCTCTCGGACTCTCTCTCTCACACGATCCATGTCTTGCTCCGTTGCAATAGTCTCGGGGGTGGGGAACAGCCTCGCATTGTTTTGACTGGCGTGAAAGTACCTCAGCTGACCCGTCTCCGAATGACGGAGGATAAACCCAGAAGAAAGGTTAATCTTCACTCGGCATCGAAGGCGCTGAAATATCATTCTCAGAGCCATATCGACGTCTATGGTGGAGTTTCCAGCCAGTCGAAAATTGTATACATCTTGAATGCGGCGTCCTGTCGTGTAATGCGTGTGAATGGGCAACCAATGTCGACGGAGAGCTTTAAGAATATCATCAGCATCTTGCCGATTTTCTTGGCCGTAATCACCAGCTGGAAACTCGCGAGGATCTTCGGAAACAGTTTCAGGTGAATGAGGACGGGACATCACGTGTGATTAGGTTTCTTCGGGTATTGACGGTGGAGTTGTACTGCCTTCGTGGTACGTTTTGATGTGTTTCTTCAGGTTGTCGTGCCGACTGAAAGACTTGTCACACAGCGGGCAGATGTGCCCGTGTGGTGCTTGTGATGTCTGCGGTGTCTGCAGTGGTGTCTGCGGTGACGTTGGTGGTACATCAGTGGGGGATGGGGTGGTATGGACATCGGAAACAGCCTCCATCATCTCGGGATCTCCCTCTACATTCTCAGATTGGTAGGGTTCGGGGGTTTGCTCGAACGGTGTTGGATAAGATGCTGACACTCCACCGTGGTCGTTTTGTAGATGCCGTAACATATGGCTCACCCTCTGGAAAACAACTCCACACGCTGGACAGGTTGATATTGTACTGCTAGGGTTTTGGGGAGGGTTACAGTCAGTTCCGGTCTTAGCAATGGTTGACTCCACTTTCTCTTGATCCGAGATTTGATGGCTGATAGACGGCAGCTGATCTGCGGTGTGGTTCTTGCGATGCCGTTTCAAATTGTCGGGACGAGAGAACACTTTGCTGCAAACCGGACAGGTCACTGCTTTCTTGTTCACACTCGTGTCGATATTGTCAAGCTTGCAGTGTCGGATCAGGTTGGTCAGTTGACGGAAGACCTTATCACACGACACGCATGAGTACTGTCTACCTTTTACTGCCTTTTCGTCATGTCCTTGTCTCCCTCGTCCGCCCTGCAATCCTTGCTGTGCCACCGCGACTGACGGCTCAGGAGGAACGTCAACAATCTGCAGATGTGAAGAAAAAGAAAACGGATCGTTAGTACAAAATGTTCTCTTTTATGTACATGTATTAACATAAAATGCGATGAATAGGCTACATAAACATGTTGGTTTTGTTTACTTAATAAATAACTCCGTAATAAAACTCAGGAAACGGAAACAAAATTGTAATCTCAACGAGCCTGAGGCGGTTTGTAAATTCACGAGTAATAGCTTTTCAGATGGTTGTTTTGTACTTACCATAAGCTGATCTTCATCTTGATCAATGTCCCACTCCTCCTGCAAGCATTGAAGGAACTGCTGACTGGTAGGTGTGCTTGTTGGGTAGGGCCTCATGGCACTCTGATGACTCATATTGCAACGTGAGATATATCTGGGTTAAAAGAAAACAGAAATGCGTTATTGTAAGAAAAACAAAACCTTGTATCATTCATGTACATGTACTATTGTATACGCTACTATAATAGGACACTTACTCGAGATCGACGTGACGATGTCAATGTCCACATTCAAATTGATCCTCGTGACGACAATCCTCAACTTATATACCTTCAGAATGAGAAAATCTATCTTTTTTTTTAGTAAATCTAAAAATAGCTCAGCATATCCATTATCATGTTAATACAAGAAAGCTACATTGGAAATAATTTTTTAATAGATTTTTTTTTTGATAGAGTTTGAAAGTTTACATAGAAATTATTTAAGAAAGTTTGCGAATTATATGTAGGGCCATACATTCAATTTTTTTTTTTTCGTTTACGTTGAATTAATATTTTGTCCAAGTGGTTTTTTTTTCCGCTGGTAGTGCATTGCACGTTTAAGATGAATTTTCATTGGTCGCTGATGTATAATATATCTTTCGTTACACTTCTTTCGGGGCTTACTCAGGTTGTACGTATAGGGGGTACGGTAACTATTTACATGCATGTACAATTAATTACACATTGGAGCCAGTATAATATATAGACAACTTTTATGGACACTTTTTTTTTATTTTTTTTATTTTTTTTTTACCATTGTTATAAACAACCACGTGACAATTAATCAAACTCAGTTTTCACGATCGTCATATATAACTATTATCGATGGTGCCTGGAACAAAATAAGATGTGATTTCCTCGATTATTAAAATTCAGTTTGGACGCTACATCACTCGTTAATTGCACTATTCATTTAGGTGACGTAGCCTATACTAACGACTACAATGTACCTCGACTGGGATCCAGTGCACTACTCAGAAAAAAAATCCCATCATTAAAATAATGAATAATGAAACCAAAAAAAAAAAAAAAATGCATTGCAAATCACTTACATTTCCCAACCAAATAAAATTGAAACGAGACTTTTGTTCGATGTAGACCTAATATCGGGTCGATCGGTTTTATTTCAAGTGGTCTTATGAAAACTAAGAAGTCAATATGATTTTTGCATTCGGTTATTCATATTTTCCTCTCTTTTTTATTCCAAATGGTCGTCATGTTTCAAGATTTTATTTTATCTATTGGGAAACATTGATAGTATCTTGAACAAGTTTCAACTTTTTGTTTCAGCTGAATGTGTTTTGTAATTTATATTTACAACAAACAAATACATGTCGTATTTAAGACGTATTTTTTTTTTTTTGCTCTTAAGGCACGCCTCAATCTCAAGACGATCTTCAAAATTAAAATGAAACAAACTTATTATTACAAAAAAGCAATGTATGTAGGATACGTAGATCATATACGTGGATTATCGCCAAATAACTTTCGCATTGTCGTCTATAGAATGTAGCGGATTGTTTAAAATAAAATTAAAAAAACCCATCTTGTGTAAACCTTGATATTGACATATTATGGAAGCGCGGAAGACATTCAATCAGTACATATTTTAACACTAAAAGCAAGTAACTGTTGGTTGAAAGCCAACACATTCTGTAAATCGACACCAATCAATGAGGGTCTATTTTTTTCTTAAATTGTGTTATTTTATTTATTCTTTATCATACAAAGGAAAACATGTCTTTTTTATCATAGTCCCTTTCAATTAAAGTACATGAAGATATATTATCATAAATAAAATATATCCGCGTCAATTATTGAGACATCGCTGCTCAATGCGCATAAGTTTTACATTCGCAAAGATCTTAGTGTACACATTTACGACTCTTTTTTTTTTAATAAAAATTAAAAAATAAATTAAATACAATAAATCTTAAAAGGAAACATAGAAATAGCTTTAATCTGTCTTTGTTATTGTTTTATTTTTTGCGTTGTCCGTATTCTTCCCTTTTGTGTTGCTCTATAAAAAAAATAAAAAAAATATGAAAGCTATTAGAGATAAAAGCAAAAAAAAAAAAAAAAAGTATAAATATTTCTAATGTGTCTGTATTTTTAAAGGATTGTAATTTGTTTCATCTATGCAATTAATACATATCATTATTGTCATTTACTTATATTATCAGGATTATTACTCTATTATTATTCTATTCGTATCATGGATTTTTTTTTTTGTGTCGGGGCAATATAAATCGATTTTAGGTTTTTGCCCTTGTTGTTATTTCGTTGCAAATACGTCTCTTTTTTATTCAAATTCTGTTTTAACATGTGCCGGGGTCCCATAAAAAAAAAAAAAAAAAGTGGGAAATATCCTAGATGCAGAAATGTAATACCTGTAAATTAAGTTTGTCATCTTGCTGAAGCTTCATTGCTTTAAAAAATACGTGTGGAATACGTGTGAGTGTATCTGAAATAACAAAACTATGAGTCACCTTTCTCAAAGAGCTATAAGATAGCTTATTAAAGATCTGAAGTCTTAAAACCACATACTGTACAATCAAATCCTGAAAAGAAGAGCCCTGTTAATAAACATGTACCATCCTGCTTATAACAAGGATAATTTAAGGTCGCAGGTCTTTGGTTTTTTTTTATTGCTGATAATATAAGGTCACTGTTATAACGAGATACATTTTGACGGCCCTTTTTTTTCTCCTTCTTTGGTTAGAAAATACATGTACAGTGATTTGATGTTGGCCTGGTATCGCGAAATGATTGGAACAACTGACTGAAATATACTAACAGTTCGATACACTATTGTATTCCTACATTTTTATCACTTATTGTGCACATCATTTCTAAAGTCTATTACAAAATAATCAAATAGATTCGATTAAAATTCCAGATAGAGCCATTCCCCAACTTTCAATGTGATTCAGTTAATTACTTATTAAGGAATTTAAATGTGTAATGTCGAGTGGACTACAACTCTGCCTCTCCCTTTGATCATGAAGGTATATAGAGGTCGACCCTGCAGAGGATAGTCAGAGAGAAATACATGTAACATGTTTGAACTTAGCATTAAACACCAGAACAATTCCAACAAATGTTATGCATTTATCAAAACAAGTCTAGTTTATAAAATAATTTAGAAAAAAAAACCCAAATACACGCTGATGATAATATGTCTCGCGAGACATGAACTTACCTTGAATTTGTGTGACCGTTCAGGAGATTCGTTGTAATGAGATGAAAACCACGGACGTACTGCATTCGTTGCTTGTCGATGCACACCAAACGTTTACCTGACGTTGAATGGGCTCACACCGCCGAGTGATTGTGTACATGGAGATTTGAAGAAGAAAAACACCGCAAATTCGGACTGGACGACTGGACAAGTCCGGACTGGTCGTCATGTTTGTCGTCCATCCATGGCTCATCGCTGTGACGTCACTGGGATGGTGCTCGGAAACATTCGAAAACAACGCGAATTGGAGGAACTTCCTTGGACAAGACAGAACATGTTTCGTGTGTCCAGTTGTTGCTTGCCCGTCAATGACTCATTTGCTGTGACGTCACTGGGATTCCCCATACGTATACAAAGGAGGCAATTGTGATGGCCCAAGCTTAGATCGTCAATATTTACGGTTGGCTGACCGTTGCGGTACGTGGTGGATATTAGAAGGCAGGGAAGGATCGCGGAGGTGATTACAAGTGAAAGGAAGGATTACCGTTATACATTTTGTACATGTACATGATAGACCCATATCTACACGGGGTGGGGGGGGGGGATATGACACAATTGTATTAATTTATTTATTTAAGTCAAATTTGAAAAGTTATGTAAAAAAAGAAAAGAAAAAAAAAAGAAGGATAATGTGAATACCGAAACGATATATAAATCGTTAAAACAAATCTATCTCTGGATGCACTAAAAAAAACACCCAAAAAATTCAACATAGAACTACATCTGTTTCGCGTATTACCATGTTTGAAAATGATACCCTCAGTGCGTGCTCAGCTATGATTGTTCACGTGAGATGATTCTTGGCCGTTGCAAGACTGCATTTAATAATTATCAGGTATCTGCCTTTTTTTTGTTACTCTAAATTAAGTATCCCATACGGTATAATATGAAAACTTTATTTACTTTCAATACCGGTACTTTCTTTAAACCATACGTCGGTTGGCTGAACGTGTAATAAAATTACCACCAAAAAAAAAAAAAAAAAAAAAAGGACACACACATACACAACCATCTTCTGGGTTGTTTTTCAAACTACACACAACCCCCCCCCCAAAAAAAAAACACAACGTGTCAACGTATTGTCAATGTTTTAAACAATATCAATCACAAGCTTGTTTGTCCTTATCGCGTTGTTAGTCACGAGGTTATGAAGAAAAACAATATGCAGTAAGCGGCTCTATTATTCGTAAAAGCGGTAATAAAACGCTCAATAAGTACAACACATCTAAACACAATGTAAGTTACGGTGGTATGTTTGACCGTCTTAACAAAAATAACAAAACAAAAACAAATAGTTGGTGAGTAGCCTAATTCAGTAAAAAAGAGCTCAAGTTACTGTGTTAAGCTTATCAAGAAGATTAGTTTAATTGCATCAAACATATGATCAACGACATTTTCTTACCTTTTATAATCCCACCATCCCGGTCTGCTTAAAACCACTTCAAAGGGGTTGAATGTATTCAATTCGAAAATTAATCAAGCGGAAAGTGAAGTTTCAACACCCGACTCACTGTTTTTATTCTTTGAAGTTTCATTATCATAGTAGTTTTCACGTTTTTCACATGGAAAATTAAACGCTTCTGAAATAGATTTATGTTTACAATATATGTACATATATGTAGTTCATAAAAAATGCGGTTTTTTTCACTTGAGAAATGTACATATCAAACGCTGTGATCACTTTTTTTTAAAATTTAAATTACGGATGACTGTCACGTGTGTATTAAACAAAACGATTGTACTGAATCGTTATGTTACGAAAATAACCACATGTTTTACAAGTAATACGGACGAAGTGAATCATGATGTAAATAATTTTAATGGTGAGCTTGAGTATGATTATTTATGTGGGTTCACTGCCTTTGTTTATAAATACGTTCTTGTTTTGTTTTTTATTTAGCAATGTTCGAGAGATAATCCGATTAAAAGTTGTAATTGAAGTTTCTGTAAATTGTTAAACCATCGGACGACTGCACTGCCCACGCATGTGTTTAACATAATAATTGTACTAACATACGAATATAACCAATTCGGATGCTATCTCAAAAGTGTAAGCAGTAAAATACACAATGTAATTTATCTCTGCTTCGTTGTATACTATTCATTGTACTGTTATTGATTTTGTGCTGTATGAAATTGAACCAAATACATATACTTGTAAATACAAATTCAGTGTGATACTGTGGTTTTTTTTTGCGTGTCACGTGTCTCTCTGTTATAAGTCATCTTTTATAACTTAAACATATATATATTTGTATATTGTATAATACATTATGATTACACCCATTCGCAAATAATGCAGGTATAATTTTAAATGTGTATGTATTTGGTCCCATCAACATCTCGATAACGTGTCGCGCGATTAGGCCTATTATAGAAAATTACAACAACAACAACAACAACAACAAAATCATTCACGAGAGTATGCCTTCAAGTCATCGATAACCGCCTTCATCTATGAATTGAGTTGCTTTATTCTTTCGTTGATGCTGACGCTTCAAGTAACAAACAAAAAAACAACAACAAAATACATAGAAAATATAAATATAAATACAATTATTTACTCAAGGGCGCGTAGTCTGCATCGTCATTCGCCTTTTGTCCCATTATCTTCGAGTAATAATACTCATTCGGCGCTAATCCCCACTTTATGATCGATTTGTCCATCGATCCATGACGTCGCTGCGCCACAGACACTCCTCGTTTTATGATCCTCGTCGGGGTTACCGATATGATCCTCGATGAGGATCATGATCCTCCTCCGGAAAACGAGGTCAAATACGCAGTATACACTACTGATGTACTCTACCTCTAAATTCGATTTTAAACGGAATGTCATGATCATCGCGAGTGTGTTTTATCGGATGGGGTGTGATAACGTTCACCAGAAATGATGGATCAGGAGTCTGCGTGCCTCCCTATCAACAAGAATCATTCGGATATCGTCCATGCAGAGGACTGGTGCAGTGTTGAAAGTCTCATCCAAATCAAAGAGTCGTACTAAGCCATTTGGCGTGGCATTAAAGATGCACGTTTTGCACACATTAAAATCAACGACTCCATCTAAGATTGAGCTTATCGAGCTAGAAATTATTTTGTTCTTTACAAATGGATACTTACTTCCGTTAACACCTCTTGTGTATTCGTACACTGTATTATTATGGTCACTCATTCCTCTTACCAATTTTCCATTTAGATAAAAATGTACATCGTCAACACGACTGAAACTGCTGAGCATAAGGTTTTCGTCTTCAACTATCAAACTATTTATCAAAACCGGCGGACGCGGACGGCGCGCAGTTAAAAAGAGAGGTATCGTATCTTGACACTCTCCTGTGTCCTTGTTATAAATGTTAACAAGCCATGATCGGTCAGAGTCGTCGCTCAAGCTGACGCAAACGATAACATTATCCACGAGTTTGAGGAGTGGCGATTTCCCGCAGGATAGTTTATGCAAACACTCTCCGCTCCTCGCATCCCACACGAGAATGTTGGCATTAGTGTAGGCAGCCACCACCATCTTGTCCCGATAATCCCAATTTCTAATAGGGTCATGATTCTTAATAACATCTGTGAGAATTCGTTGTTTTACTCCATGGATATCCCACACGCAAATATCGTTGTGCCTGTTAGCTTTTGGACATGTAAGGATCAATTCACCGTCAAAGAGCAATGGTAAGCGACGGTTGTGGTGGCATCCCTCTATCAATGTTCGCTGATGCCCAGACTTTGCATCGAATGTACGTAACTTATGTCGATAAGCCACCACCATAACGCCGTCTTTGATCGTGTAGCTGCGATGCCTCTCCAAAACATTAATAAGGCACCGAAGGATGCCTTTCCGAATATCATAAACATAGATACTGTAATTACTTACACCAATTGCCAGTAGATCCCCATCTACAAAAGCTGCCTGACGAAAGTCAGGCAACTTTACCAAATCAATATTATTGCCATGAAACCGTTTTGTAACCCAGTTGCTATCTAGATGGTAAGCTCTCATGTAGACGCCTTTCCATTTGCAAGTGCTGGTCAAACCCGCTGTGTTGTCACCAGTCACGATCCTATCTTCCTGGAAGCTGACAATGTCTTCTCCTACTTCACTATCATCAGCTGCTTGTTTGGAAGGTCTGTAAGAGGCTATCTTGGCCAGATCCGTGGTGGTGCCGTAGTGCTCCCATCCTCTGCTTCGACAACGAGAACGCCAGAGCGAATCCTGATTGGTTACATCGCGTAGCCAACGGCTGCATGATGTGACGTGACACAGGTCAGTCGCACTCAGATATTGGAAAACCGTCTGGAGTAAGTCATCGGGCACTTCATAAATAGATGATCCGCTCCGCGCGACGGTAGGGCATTGATCCTCGCTGTTATTTCCTGATACTTCATTGGAGGCCATTGCAAATATATTCTGAAACAAATGATGTTTGTTTGAATTAGCAACATCCAACTTAATACACGTCTTAGGCTGTGTTTAGGCTATAACCAAGAAGGGTGGGTTGTAAAATCAAAGAGATCAAAGAGATAAACTATCCCCCTCCGTTTTTATTTCCGCGCGCTAAGCCAATTTAATGTAGGTGCTAAGCTGCAAACATATTGCAAACACTAATGAGAACCAGTCATATAGTACATTTACATCAGCATAGCCATGAAATGTTTGCAGCATAACTTGTCTGTAATGTCCAATTAGGCAAGGTATGAAGCATTCGATAAGGTCCGCGACTGTCTGAACCCTTGTAATTATTAAATGACGGGGTGCATGCTCACTATTCATTAGGAAGATCAATCCTGTTGGCATACAAAATGAGACAAAGAACCGTACGACTACGGAAAGCCTCTGTCCAGAACTTGTTACTCATTGGGAATTCCGCAATGAAGTTGGTAGGTAAATCAAAGAGATCAAGGATAGAAACTATCCCCTCCGTTATTATTTCCGCACGCTAAGCAAATTTAATGTAGGTTTGCATATATATTGCAAACACTAGTGAGAACCACTAATATAGTACATAGACATCAGCATAGCATGACATTTTAGCAGCATGACTTGTCTGTAATGTCCAATTAGGCAATTAATGAAGCATTTGGTAAGCTCTGCGACTAAACACTTGTTTATTGAATGACGGGGTGCATGCTCACTATTCATTCGGAAGATCATTCCTGTTGGCATACAAAATGAAACGAAGAACCGTACGCCTACGATAAGCCTCACTGCCCATTAACAGAACTTGTTACTCATTGCGAATTCTGCAGTAAGGAATCTCAAATAACCAGCAACAGTGCCAGGATTCCCAAACTGCACTTACATGACATTGACCTACTCTGTAGTCACAACTTAAAGTAGCCAAGAACAAAATGCAGTTCACAGTAAAAGTTACAATCTGCTTACAGTAAAAGGTATACTTAAATGTCGTAATTCTCGTGTTTTGCTGATGACATAATTTATATAGATGACTACATCAGGATGCAGCTCTGTACATTATTCCAAGTGTAAGGGCGTGGGAAGTGTAGTGTGCAGTGTGTAGTGTGCAGTGTGTAGAGTGTATAGCAAGCCGGACTTCCAATATGGCGCACGCAGAATGCAGTACGTGTACGTTCAGGTCAGTTGTAGTGCCACAGGAAAACAGCGAGTTCATATGTTAGTGCATGTGAATAGGGAAAACTTGTGCTGTGACTACAACAGCTTATAAATACAGGGTCCATCGGTCAAGTTGAGTGCGATTTATCACCTCGGCGCATGCGCCTTCATGTGTATTTGCATTGACGTGTACCAATAATGCGCAGTTGCAGTCTTGTAATTGGGTGCCATGAACTAAGTCTGAAGTACATGTTTACTTATAATATTTCACCTAAAGAAAAATGAGCAAACTTAGCTCCTTATACATAATGCATCACCCAGTTTGACAGCCATGACGAGTAATTAATGTTGCCATGTTACTGTAAATAAACATTTTGTAGTCAATATAACACTTTTATAAAATGTAACTATTCATGCTTATAGTCATTATACACGCTGATTTTTAACCTATCAATATGAGTTAATCTGACAACGGGTTATAGTCCATGAGGCAAATAATTAGTAACAATTGCCTTAATTTTTAGTAGTCATTTTGACTCATTTGTGTGCCTAAATGACTAACTTATGTTGACAGTGCATATGATAAGGTTATTTTGGCAGATGTCCAAATTTCCTCTTTGATACCATTATTAAGTTTTAAGTAACATCTGAACTAACTTTCAGATTGTATAGAAAAATATCCCTCTGTTCTCTTCTTTCATTAACTTCCAATTACACATTTGCGAATTCTCGTCAACCTACAATTTTAATGATATAATAACTTCCGCTGCATAAACATTGATGGACATGGAGCATGGACTTGACAACTCTCCCAAAGAAACACTCTCAACACAATCATGACAATATCGTCATTTAGTAAATGCTTGTTCAATTCAAGAAACGTACCATTCATTTCCACACCGTGGAGCATTTGGTGGATGTGCCCAACAATACCAGACAAAAGAAGACAAAACAATACCGATTATAAGATTTAGAACATACGCATGTTAATAGGTTAAACATGCTGTAGACTGAACAAAGTCACTGAAGAATGGCAGGTATATTTTTAATCCCGTTATTTATTCATTTTTATTAAAAATAAGTTCAAAAAGAGCACCCCTGTGAACATTCAAAATGATCCATGCTCTTCCTGACAACTGAGGGCGATGTTGCCGTGATGTCATTTTAGGAACACTCTCTGTAGTGTATTGTTTTGTTGTTCTAAAAAAATGTGAACTAAAAATGAGTGGTTCACTAGTTATTAAAGATTAGGAGTATGTACCGAGTACGTAGGTCCCAAAAATCATTCTGATTTCGTTCATCCACATTATTTTGAAATTGTATGATTCATGGCCTAAAGCAAAAAGTCGTACTGAGCCATTTGGCGTAACGTTAAACATGAACACCTTTCGTCGCCCATCCTTCAGGTGTTCCGTTGCACGCTGAATAGCCAATGGTTGTTATAGAGTATTCATGTCTATGATTTTAGGCATGGTATCCTTAGCGCGTTATAAGTCTTGATTAACGTTGTGGTGTTTTGGTGGCCTTCTGTGAAGATTATGTGAACCACGCGTACGATGTAAATACTGGGCACGAGCTAAACGAGATGGAGGGATGCCAACACTGGTTCGTTGGCTTACTATTGCTCTTTGACAGTGAATCGGTCATTACATGTCCATAATCTGATCGGCTCAACGATATTCAGGTGTGGGATATCCAAGAAGGAAAACAGCGAATTCTCACAGATGTTACCATGAATCATGCCGTTCCTGGGATTATCGGGAAAAGATGGTCGTGGCTGCCTACATTAATAACAACATTCTCGTGTGGGATGCGAGGAGCGGAGAGTGCTTGCATAAACTGCCCTACGGGAATTAGCCCAACGTCAAACTCGGGAAAAATGTTATTGCCTGCGTCAACCGGAACGACGACGCCGGCCAATGGCTTGTTGACATTTTGAGCCAAGACACAGGAGAGTGTCAACAGGTGATATAATTATGTAGCTTTATAGGTTATTCGATAGTATATTTGACTACATGGTGCCACCTTCTTCTTTACATTCTTTGAGTGGTGTTATGATTAAAAACGAACAAAATACATGAAACGCAATCGATCGCTTATGACTTTAACTGGTTCACGCATAACATCATCAGTTCTCCTATAAAAATATCAACTTGAGGGTTTGCATGGCGGATAGTCAACGTTTAGCTCGTGCCCAGTATTTACATCGTACGCGTGGTTCACATTATCTTCACAGAGCGCCACGACAACGCTGTTGTTTATCTTATAGTCGAGAAGCCGCTCATCAAGACTTATAACGCGCTAAGGATACCATGCCGAATATCATAGACATGGATACTCTATGCTGTTACACTTATTGCCAGGAGATCTCCATAGACATGTTTGTCAAACATGAATATAATATAATAATAATAATAATAACGGAAATTTAAACCGCGCCATTATCCACCATAAATGACGCTCATGGCGCAAACAAAAATTATATCAAATCAGAAATAACAAAACAATTAAATTCAACTAAACAAGACTATTCTGAGTGGTCTGAAACAAATAGGTCTTTAGGGCAACTTTAAATTCAGAAAGCGATGAGATATTGCAAATGGCGAGGGGTAGTTTGTTCCAAAGATGAGGACCTGCGTGAGAAAATTATCGATCACCCCAAGATTTGTGAGTGTGAGGGAAAACCAGCAAAGAAGCATCAGAAGATCTCAATCGCCTGGATGGATTATATGGAGTTAATAGGTCTAATGTTGTATTCAGGAGCTGAATCATGAAGGCAATGACAAACAAGCAGTAACAGTTTGTACTTAATCCGGTCAGCAACAGGGAGCCAATGCAGAGACTGCAAAATCGGGGTGATATGGGTTCTAGAGGGTGTCAGGGTCACAATTCGATCGGCAGAATTTTGTAGTCTTTGTAGGCGAGCAAGTTGGTTACGGGGTAGCTGATACAACAGGGAATTACAAAAATCCAACCGAGATGAAATGAGGGCGTGAACAAGTTTTTCTGTTGCTGAGCGAGTTAGATACTTCCGAATTAAACCCAAGTTACGAAGTTGAAATCTGACAGATTTACATGTGTTAGAAACATGATGAGACATTGACATAAGTGAGTCAAAGGTGACTCCCAGATTTTGACAGGTCGCCGACAACTTAACAGGAGAATTGTAGTCAGGCGGCCTTTTATTTAGCAAAGCAAAATCCTTGAAATAAGACCGATTTTTAGCCCAATTTCTATCAAGATGGTCAGCTCTCATGTAGACGCCTTTCCACCTGCAAGTGCTGTTTAAACCCGCTGTGTTGTCATCAGTCACGATCCTATCATTCTGGAAGTGACGCTGTAGTCACTTGCTTCACTAGCGCCAGTGGCTTCCTCGGAAGGTCCGTAAGAGGCTATCGTGGCCAGGTCTGTGGTGGTGCCGTAGAGCTCCCATCCTGTGCTTTGACATAGAGGGCGCCAGAGTGAATTCTGATTGGTTGCACCGCGTAGCCAACGGCTGCAGGTTGCCACGTGACACAGGTCAGTCGCACTCAGATATTGGAAAACCGTCTGGAGTGAGTCATCGGGCACATCATAAAAAGATGATCCCCTCGGCGCGACGGTAGTGCATTGATCCTCGCTGCTTTTTTTCGACACCCCACTGGAGGCCATTGCAATACAATTCTGAAACAAGATGCATTGTGTTATTGAAAACTTTGACAGTTTCAATATTTCCCATTGTGCCAGATTTATAAATGTGAACTTATCCAGCGTGTTTCCTCAAGGAAACCAGTGTTGGAAAAGGTCCCCTATCCGCAGTTAAGACTCCTTTGTATCAAAGACACCACAGTTTGAATCAATCACAGTGAGTATGCGCATTGATTCGAATGTGCATTAAAAAGTGGCGTGTCTAAACATTCGCCTTTCATTCCAGTGGTAGAAAAGATGCTATTAAAACTCATGCTCTGTCACTTGAATTAAAATACTTAAAGTGGTTTAACCTTAATAAAAAAAATAATAAATAAAATAAAAGTGAATACCCCAATATGCCAGCGACCTAGCGGTAGTATCGCATGCTCCATATTAGGGTTTGTAAAAATCCTATGCACAGAAGAACTGTTGATGCTTGGCACCCAGGCTAATCCATTCAACACTTCATATCAACATGAACTTTTAACCTCAAGTTATTTTTACCATGAAGGGATAGGCCTATTCAACTCTACCCAACACATGTACATCTGAAATGACAGTGTCTACGTACATATGCATTGAACGAGTCATTTTTACTTACAACATATTTGACATTCTGCACCTCTTGTTCAGTGGCTAAGTGATTCTGTAAATTAAAGCAACTCTTGTAACGTGTTGATTTTTTTCCGCGTGAAGTCATTCCTAAAGTTAATAACACGTAATACTTGCATTGCAACATATTTGTACTGGTAAAAAAATATATGTAAACTGTAGATACATCGTTTAAACTCGCACTTGATATGACGGATGGGCGTTATTCTAAAAATGCATGGAATCATAGTCACTGTAGCGTTTGAGGCAGTTAAGCATTAGCCAGCGGTAAACATCGACTCAAGGGTTCGAGCAAGACATTTACTGTGGGTGACAGACACGACTGTATCGGTAATGTACCTGTAGGACTGCACAGAAGTTATAGGCCTCAATTAATTAAAGTGTACTCCGAACAATTTGCAACGTCATGCCATTTAATTAACTGTCAGAATCAAGGGAGAGATAGACAATATCAATTCAGTGTTCCTCTCTTTCCTTCTTTCTTTTTGGATGGTGGAGGATGGGGAACGATTATCAGGAGAAAAGAAATTCAACGTTTCAATGTTCTGGTACATTCTGATTTGGCAACGTCAGATTGGTTTGGAATTACTAATCGAGTCTACTACCACTCAATTCTTCACAAAAGTCTGCCCTGGGCAGACGTTCTTGGTGACAGAACAGAAAACTATGCATGGTGACATTTAGGGAACAAGACACACGATTTACATACTTCACCACACCAGTTCTTGTCTTCGTTGTAAGGCTTTGTGTGGAAGTTTGGTAGTTTGGGCGTGGTTAAAAAGTTGTACTTTTCCTTTCAATGGAAAGAAACCAAGGATCGTTCTTTCAGGCACGTTGCTTCTCACTCCGTGTCTGACCACTGACAACTGGATACAATAATACACTGTAACACTCTGTGTACTTATGCCATTGAAAATTTATAATCTCTCTGTTCTTAGCCATACATGTTACTTATTAGAGAAAACAGTAAAAAGAAAGCCAATATATACATTTGTGATGAATGACGACGACTATAATAAGTTATTTCAACTCAACCTGTAATGTACTTGGTCTCACTCCTAATCGTGTAATTTTGACTCGACCCCAGCGAGACCCAAATTTCCCCACATGACGCTTACTACACTTAAAGATGCAATACGACCCCAACTATATCATATGAAACATTTAATGTTGGCAGATGTCACAATTTGGTCTTTGATACTACAGATTGTTAAGTTTTGAATTATATCTCTGAATGTTACAGTTACTAACTTTCAGATTGCAAAAACAAATAACTCTATTTTTGTTTTTCCCCCATAATTTCTAATAATACATTTCCGAATTCTCGTCAACGTAAAAATCGAATGATAACATAAACATTGATGCACATGGAATAAAGACTTCACAAGGGTCTCCGCACAATCACGACCATATCGTCATTTGAGTAAATACTCGTTCAGTTAAAGAAAACATTTACATTGTATTTCCACATTGTGTGGACGCATCATCCTGAAAAGCTGAAGCTTTTCGTAGATGTGCCAAACTGTAAAAGAAAGAACAAGTTAAAATAACACTGATTATAAAATTTAGTATATAGTAATCACACTAATTAAATATATTTAGGTTAAACATACGGTGGACTAAACAAAGCCATTGAAGAATGGCATTGTCAGGCGGGACATCGAAGGGCAAAAAGGATTTTTTTTTCTACTAAATCCTCGCCACAAAGGGGAGCATTACTTATTTAAGCCCGCTGTTTATTCCTTTTTGGTTATTTTTTTTTAAAGGAGCACTTCTGCAAACATTAGAAGTGTTCATGGTGTTCCTGACAACTGAGGGCGACGTTGTTTTTGTGTTGTTTTAGAAACACATTCTTCAATTTGGGTATTATTATTTTTGTGTTCAAACTGTAAACCAAAACATTTGCTTATTAAAATTATTTGTAAGATTTTTTTCCCATTATCTTACTGTCATGTACTGAAATAACAAGATAATCTCCCAGTCCAAAATCAAAGTTCGACGGCACAGTATAACAAATTCAGATAATTGTTGATGCTGAATTAGCTCTAACATTGAGGTTACTGCCCAAATTGATATCGCAGTGTCGCTCATGAACATGGACATTTTGCACCAGTATAAAAACCAGAAAAGGTACCACAATTTCATTAACAATGGCAAAATATACATTAAAAATTAAAAGCTAAATAGGACACAAAGGGGAATTTATAAGGATGACATTATCCCTTTAAATAACCCAACCCAAGATGATGAGCTCTGCTATTGAGTACCATGTCTTTCTATGGTATCATACACAATGGAAATCAATAGGAACAAAAAGCCTTTTCACCCACACAATATCTGTAAATATCAGGTATCAAACTGAGTTGATATATTACAATTAAGAGCAAATTATATGCTCCATATTGCATGGAAAACTAACAGTGAAGATGTTTCGTAAGACCTGGTCACACTTAATTTTGGAACAATTCAATTAAGCCAGAATTCAATGATCCTGAAATTCAAAATCAAGGGTTGCATCCAACCATATTGTATTTGTTATCCAATAAATGATTGATCTGACATGGATAACTACTATAACAAGAAATAACATACACCCCGAAACAATATCTAGTGATTCAGTTAAAACTATAATGGAATACTATTTTGTACAAATTCATGTTTAAAAAATCGGTTTGCTAAAGCAGTGAAATACATTCACCCATACAACATATATTTATATACATATAAGCTATCAAAATCAGTTGATATACATGTATTACAATTAAGAGCAAGATATATGCTCCATACTACATGGAGAATTAAGAGTGAAGATGTTTCGTGAGATCCGGTCACACTTACTTTTGGAACAATTCAATCAGGCCTGAATTCAATGACCTTGAAATTCAAAATCAATTGTTTTATCCAACCATATTGCATTAGTTATCCAATGAATGATTGATCAGACATGGATAACTACTATTAACAAAAAAGTGAATACTCTAGCTAGTGATTCAGTTAAAACGATAATCAAATAATATTTTGCACAAATTCATATCCAACCAATCTGTTCGCTATAGCAGCGAAATATCTTCATTTTAAATGGGTAAATAAGAGTTTTGCCACTCTGATTATCACCCTCGTACAACGATAATGTCCGCCAAAACTCTAAATAGCACTTGGAAGGCTGACACATGACGACAGCTTTCTTAAAGACATTAAGGATCACTTGGATTTATCCGAAAAGGAACCGACCGAATTATTATGAAAACAATCACTATGATTTAATATTGTACTTGTACTTTAATATTGTACTTGTACTTGTTAGCATCTGTCTAGTCTTTACATCGAACGCACGGACCACATAATCTCGAAAAACCACCACAATAACGCCATATTTGATCTTCATCTTCTCGATATGGTTGCAACTCTTAACATTAATCAAATACTCAAAGATGCCAATCCGAATATCAAAGACAAGGAGATTTTGTGGTTCAGCTATCACCAGGATATCTCCATCCACAGAAGCCTCGTAATGCCTGTATCTAGGCGGCTTTAACATATAAATAAACTTCAAATCAAACCGATTTTTAGCCCAGTTCCTATCCAGATGGTAGGCTCTCATGTAGACGCCTTTCCACCTGCAAGTGCTGGTTAAGCCTGTTGTGTCGTCATCATCCACGATCATATCTTCCTTGAAGGTGATACTGTAGTGCCATGCTTCAGTAGCGCCAGTTACTTGTTCGGAAGATCCGTAGGAGGCTATCTTGGCAAGGTCTGTGGTGGTGCCGTAATGTTCCCATCCTCTGCTTTGACAACGAGGGCGCCAGAGTGAATCCTGATTGGTTACATCGCGTAGCCAACGGCTGCATGATGCGACATGACACAGGTCAGTCGCACTCAGATGTTGGAAAACCGTCTGGAGTAAGTCATCGGGCACGTCATAAATAGATGATCCGCTCGGCGCGACGGTAGGGCAGTGATCATCGCTGTTATTTCATGATGCTTCAGTGGAGGCCCTTGCGAAGATATTCTGAAACAAATGTTAGGATCTATTTAATTGATTAGCAACAATGAACTTAATACATTTCTCAGGCTGTGTCCATGCTTCGAAAAAGAAGGGTGGGCTAGGTGATTTTCACAAGCTAAGCTAATTTCATGTCGGTGCTAATTAGCTGTAAGTATATTCCAAATTAAACTTGAAACCAGTCGTATGGTAAATTTGCATCACCATCGTATAAAATTTAAGCTTCATAACTTGTCTGTATAATTTGCAAGTATTACCGATTCTTACCCAAATTAAGCAGCAGGTGGTAAGGTCAATGAGTGTCAGAACAATTGTAATTCCTCCGCAAATATATGAACGGTAAATTATGTTGAAAATTACTTTGCATGGATTTAATTTGTCAGTAGGATAAGCTCAACTTCGAAGGTGAATCGTCAAATTTTGGCTCTATCGTATTGAAAAAGTGTTGGACATTTGCTCGTCTCGTAACTGGGTTATTCAATTACTGCTCTAATGATGCTGACCAACATTCAAAATTGGTAAACTTGTATATAAAAAAAAATAAAAATGCAACATTAGCCGAAACCATTTCAGCGTTGAAGTACGTTATGATGATGATCCGCTTCCGTTCCCCCGCCCCCCCCCCCAATTCTCGTGAGTGCAAAACTTCAGTCCCCCCCCCCCCGAAAAAAAAAAATGTGAGTGCAAAACGAATTGTAAAAAGTATTCAGCTGATGCCCACACAAAATAGTTCTTATTTTCAGCATATTGCCAAAACGCAAAAGCCAGAAAATTGCCTATAATACAAAGAACAGATGTTGCATAAATTCCAGGATCGTGTTCGGCCAGGTCAGTTAAAAATTTAATTGTAAGAAGCCATATTGTGATATACTATCTGTTTGGCAGATCTGCACTCTGCGTATGAGTATTTTTAGCTTTTATTGCTTACAGAATTGACCACTGATTGTGTCTGCACCTATCCAATGCACCTGAAGTCCCTCCAAAGGTCAAATGCAATTCTTTCCTTTTTTATAAAGCTATGAACTTCAAGTCTACAGCAATAAAACGTACTTTGCGATACGTATCGGTTGGTCTTCATAATAATTACCTCTAAAAAAATCCTCCAAGCAAAGAAGATTTGTCTTCTCAGTAATTCCCTCTAAAATATCATGATAGGCCCTAAGGCTGTTTGATAATTCAAGTAGGCTATCCCTGAATTCGATAATATGCAATAAATGTCATTGCCAATATCAGGGCGAAGGTATTCTCGTTTATTGTCTTTTCTGCGGTTACCTTAGTGTCTTTGAACTGTTGTATCCCCTCGTGCCGAGCTTGGCAGTGATTGGATCTTAAAGTGGTCGTCAAGCTCATCAAAAGGCACTTTTCCGAACGGTTTAAATCCCCTTTCTACCACGGAAATCGTCTAATCTTCTGACTAATCGCAACGGAACGTTTTATTGCTGGAAATTTGAAGTTTCTAGCTTTCTCAAAACAAGTACACTTTATAACGAATCTTAATCTCCACGGCAGGAAAAAGATCAAACAATTTTTCACGAGGGATTTTCATATTAATTTAGGGGTGGGGGGAGCAGTGGCGTAACTGAGACGTGTAAGTACTAAGTTACCTCAGGGACAAAGTAGCTTGACATTGTTTGAAACTACAACATAGCCCATTGTGACCCCCTTCAAGATTGAAACCCCATCCCACTGTGCCCCCCCCCTCCCTCACACGCGCACACATATACAAACTTTCATACCTAATATGAACTTTCCTTGTTTTCGTGCAGTTAAGAAATAAAAAAACTTTCAACCCAATCTCTTTTTCATGATTTCCTTCTTTTTGCGACCGATAAACCTAACCCCCAAAAAATGCAAACCTGTTTTCCAGACAGCGGGAACCTTGTGTGGACATGGGCAAGTCGTGGGCTCTTTTGCTTGGAGGCACACGTTGAATGTAATGCCTGTATAGCCTGACACACATATAAGTATGGGGAAGATCTTTGTTTCCCTTCCTTTTGTCCCTTAATTTGTTTCTATTCAGCAATTAAGCGCGGTGGCAAGTAGCGCTGCCTGCTTTCCACACACGTCTCACGCGTCCGCACCCCAGATCCACACCTTTATACTTTCAACATTTTAGTGATGTCTATTTTCATGCACGTAAACAAAGAGAGTATATTTCCAAATGATCTATACATCTAGAGTTCGTTTAGAATAAGGAAATCCCCCCATAAATGCATGAAAGTGAATACGGAACTGAAGTGTTAAGTAATTAGTGCTCAAGTTCAGGTCACATCGGTCCTTTTTAGAGGGAGGAGGGGTATATATGTTTAACTAACAAGGAGCAATGACTGCAAGCTGCCGTTCCGTATTCAAATATACATACATCGAAGTACATGCATTTTTTTTGGCAAAATACAAATAAACGAATGAATGAGTGAAGTAAAGAAAGGGGTTGATTTATTTTACCAATAATTTAACAGAAAACCAGGGATCACATTTATACGCATACAAATATGAAAATAAAATAATAAATTTACATTCATGAAACAATTTTTTTCTAAAGAAAGTATGAATATAGATGAATAAAATGAAAGCAAGTTAATAACTAATTAATTCATCACTGCATAAATAGTCTGGCGCCATCCCATTCATCAGTTAGCAATTAATGAAATACATTCAGGGAACTCGACAAAAATGGCCAACTGGTGCATACGGCTTATGGAGTCTATTGTTCTTTTGTGTTTTCTATCCCATAAGGAACCCTGTGCATGTACCCGTTAGAGCACACACAAATGGGACCCACGTTACACTTCTGGTTTTGGACGCGAATTTTTTAATGGAACTAACCCCTTGAGCCGAATGAAGTATTTCTTTCAAGTTTATAACAAATCAGAAGAACCATTATGAGAATATTATTTCTCTTTTTTTATCAAGGCATGTGTCAAAGACAACAGTTCATTGTCTAACACATGCTATTATTTTTTTAATTTTAAATTAGAAACACAAAAAATTATTATTAAAAATGCCGCCATATGCTTGGTTGCCATATTTTTTGGCCAGGTTTACGGCCCATCTGTTCTTACGTTTTACGACACAGTCAGGCGATGCAGAGTGATCTCCTGGGTCTAATATAAGCAATAGCTATCCGGGCCAGGGATCAGAACTGCTCTGACGAAAGTTTCAGCCGCACAGCCCTAAAACACGCTCAACACAACTAACTGAGGCAATCTCAAGTCGCACTTTAGTTGCAACCGATATCTTTTATTAATCTTTTTTTTTTCTTCTGATTGTCATCATGTCAACAGTAACCGCGTACCTGATGGCGCTGCTGACGGTAGGATTCCTGGTGGTTGAACACGACGCCGCGGTGTTCCTAGGACAAGAAACTGACTTCGCCTTGACGGATGAAGACACGAGTGGTAATGTATTGCTATATTCACTATGATAACTAGCTGAGTTTCTGAAGTTAGTTCGATTCAAAGTTTTTGGTGAAAACTAATGACATTTCGCACACTGTCAACAAGCACCGCCATAATATGATGATAAAGCCCTCTGTTACAAATGATAATGTAGTAACAAACGGATAACGTATCACCAACCGATGTCTCAATAACAGAAATTGACCGATAGTGTTGTAAAATTTACTACACTCTCGGTGAATTGTTGTTACATTATCGGTCTTAACCGATAATGTAACAAAAATTTACCGATAGTAGTAACATTTACTTCACCATCAGTAATTTCTTTTACATTATCGGTTAGTGATACAATAATCGGTCAATTTGTGTGACACTATCGGTTGGTGATACGTTGTCAATGCCTTAAGCGCAGCTGTTAAATACATCTTAATAAATGAACGTTCAAAAAATGTGAAAATTATTTTCTTGTGATCCTAGGACGAGAAAGTGACCACGCCTTGACGGATGAAGACACGAGTGGTAATGTATTGATATATTCGCTTAAATATAACTAGCCGATTTCCTGAAGGTAGTCAGGCTTCAAAGTTTTGATATAACAGATGAAATTGTGCACACTGTCAACAAGCACCGCCATAATAAGATGATGAGGCACTCGCTCTGTTTGGACGGGGCAACATTTCAAAATGTTAAAAATTCAAACCTAAATTGAAATTCAAACAACTTCAGAAACTATAAGACAAACATGTTAAGTTCATCAGCGCAGCTGTTCAATACATCTTAATCAATGACAATTCAAAAATGTTTAAAAATTTTTTTGTTGCGATCATAGGACGAGAGACTGACCGTGCTTTGATGGATGAAGACACGAGTGGTAATATATTTCTATATTCACTAAGATATAACTAGCCGAGTTTCTGAAGGTAGTTAGGCTTCAAAGTTTTGGTATAACATACGAAATTGTGCACACTGTCAACAAGCACAGCCATAATAAGATAATGAAGCCCTCGCTCTGCTGGGGCGGAGCAACATTTCCAAATATTAAAACTTCTAACCCTATTTGAAATTCCAACAGCTTTTAAAAGCTATGACGAAACGTGTAAGGCATTTGGCTGCTAAATACATCTTAAAAAATTGATGATTAAAAAAATGTTAAAATATTTTGTTGTGATCCTAGGACGAGAAACTGACCACGCCTTGACGGATGAAGACACGAGTGGTAAATTATTGCTAAATTCACTAAGATTTAACTAGCCGAGTTCCTGAAGGTAGTTAGGCTTCAAAGTTTTGGTATAACACACGAGATTGTGCACACCGTCAACAAGCACAGCCATAATAAGATAATGAAGCCCTCGCTCTTCTGGGGCGGGGCAACATTTCCAAATATTACAACTTCTAACCCTATTTAAAATTCCAACAGCTTTAAAAAAGGATGACAAAACTTTTAAGGCATTTAGCTGCTAAATACATCTTAAAAAATTGATGATTAAACAAATGTTAAAATATTTTGTTGTGATCCTAGGACGAGAAACTGATCACGCCTTGATGGATGAAGACACGAGTGGTAATGCATTGATATATTTGCTTAAATATAACTAGCCGAGTTCCTGAAGGTAAACAGGCTTCAAAGTTTTGATATAACAGATGAAATTGTGCACACTGTCAATAAGCACCGCTATAATAAGATGATGAGGCACTCGCTCTGTTTGAACGGGGCAACATTTCAAAATGTTAAAAATTCAAACCTAAATTGAAATTCAAACAACTTCAAAAACTATAAGACAAACATGTTAAGTTCATCAGCGCAGCTGCTCAATACATCTTAATCAATGAAAATTCAAAAATATTAATTTTTTTTGTTGCGATCTTAGGGCAAGAGACTGACCGTGCTTTGATGGATGAAGACACGAGTGGTAATATATTGCTAAATTCACTAAGATATAACTAGCCGAGTTCCTGAAGGTAGTTAGGCTTCAAAGTTTTGGTATAACATACGAAATTGTGCACCCTGTCAACAAGCACCGCCATAATAAGATAATGAAGCCCTCGCTCTGCTGGGGCGGGGCAACATTTCCAAATATTAAAACTTCTAACCCTAATTAAAATTCCAACAGCTTTAAAAAACTATGACAAAACTTTTAAGGCCTTTTGCTGCTAAATACATCTTAATAAATGAACGTTCAAAAAATGTGAAAATTATTTTGTTGTGTTCCTAGGACGAGAAACTGATCACGCCTTGATGGATGAAGACACGAGTGGTAATATATTTCTATATTCACTAAGATATAACTAGCTGAGTTCCTGAAGGTAGCTAGGCTTCAAAGTTTTGGTATAACAGATTCAATTGTGCACACTCCACAGCTTTAAGAACTATAAGACAAAACTTTCTAGGCCTTAAGCTGCTAAATACATCTAAATAAATGAACATTCAAAAATGTTAAAATTATGTTGTTGATGATATTTGCTCAATTTTGGTACAATATTTGTAGTCAATTTTCCGGGGAAAACCCGACCGATCAACCGACCGACCGACCGAACAACCAATAAGTGACACGAATAAGCTGCTGCCAGACCCTAAAACAAAAGTATTGCCCTCTTGTTTTTTTACATTTTTAAATTTTATTTCAGTGTCAGACCAGATAACGCAGCTGACTCGAGGTTTGCATGCGTGTGCAAACAACGAAGACATGGACTGCTTCTTGGAGTATTTCGCCGACGATGTGCGTGAGATGTGGGAAGACCAGCCAGATCAGATCGGGAAGGACGGTGAGTTCCTCATCAGCTTTAGAAAGCTCCACCACACTGCAAACACATCGGGGAAAAATACTTCTTCTGATCGATGTAATTTTTTTTCTTAATGTAAGGAAATCACAGCTTAGTGAAGCCAGAAAACAAAATAAAGAATGTAAAAAAAAACAAGTAAAGGATAATTTGTTGGCCATGGAATCCCCAGAAAACCAACCAACACAATTCATACAGTACAGGTATGACGGATCCCGATCGACTATAAAACCATTGTTTAAAACCCTCTCAGTCTCAATGTCTCTTCAATAAGTCCTCCACTATATTGTAAAAAAAATACTGTCATGTGAAATTAACGTACAGTGTAATTTAGTTATTCTCAATAACCCACACGTCACACCAATTTTACATTGGGTTGGCCACCGACAGGCATTGCAGTTGCTGACCCTTTTATTTATTTATTTATGTCTTCTTCTTTCTTCTTTTTTCTTTTTCTTTGTGAAATTAATATTTACATTTAAGCGATTATATGCTAAATAATAATAGTCAACTATGGATCCAATTTTTTTTAAGATCCCAGATTGTGGATGCATACACAACGACAATCTTTACAATTAACTTCAACGCCTCTGATGCACTTTTCTGTGACTTGTGCCATCATATAAAATCAATTAAGTTGTGATTTGTATGTTGATCCTGCACGCCTGCGGAGTGAAAAACCAGAGATAAAAACTATTTGCGTGAAAATACTCTGGAAAACCCCGCTAGACGAACAAGACTAAGAGTAGTATGGTTTCCACTAGTACTTTCCCTTGTTGAGAGTTGCCACATTGCATGATTTTATGGTCATAGTGCCCGATTTCAAAATCTAATCTATTCATGGGATATTATAATAGTAATGATCATTAACTATAAACTTGAAAGAAGTCGAGCCTGCCGGTGCGCAGATGGTCTATGCTGACTAAGCACCGCCCTATATACTCCCCCTTTTTTTCTCCAATCTTCAACCGCGTATGGCGGAGTGACATTTACACTTATTGAGAACTACGTTTCGTTCTAATTCGCCCCGCTCAACCGAACGAAATACCATTTTTCACAAGCCTTATAAAAAGGCATTGAGAAATATTGGTATGATCCGAGAACGGACGTACTGATCAAAGTACAAACAAAACAACGAATTGGTGTACCTTGTGCCATATACCTTGTGACATTTTACCGCCTGAAATGGGATTGTTCAGAAGAAATATATTGTCATGTGAAATTAGGTGTAGTGCGATGTCTCTCTTTTCTCAAGCCTTATATGAAAGACACTGAGGAAGGTTGGTGTGATTCGAGTATGGTCCTGCTAATCAAAGTTAAAAAAAACCAACTGGTACCTTACCCTGTGATGTGTCCGCCTGAAATTGTATTTTTCGGAAGAAATAATCATTTGAATGTGTTTTTTTTTTAAAGTGTATCCATCGGGCAAACTCTTTGGCCTATGCAAATATTGTGGAGCTCACACATCTAATGACCTTGACGTCACATACATTCACCGGCTGAATGAGAATCATGTCCATGCAATTCAAAATATAAAATGGTAGTTTATGGAATCGGAAGCGATAGCAACGGAATCCACTTTACGGGGCAAAATATAGTGCATATGTTTTCTTTGGTTTTCTCCAAATGTATCTGTTATCCACTAATCTGAATCTCGGGTTGATTGTTATGCACCTTACTTATGATTTCCAATAAAGTTCAGAAAAAAAAATTGCAAAAAGAAGGAAACGATCCTTTATTTGCACCTTGAAACAAGTGTCTTGTTTTTTTAATTTCATCAGCCCTCCAGTTAGACGTGACCTATACTACTGAGGAGGTGATACCTACTGATGCGGCAGCCACTCATGTGGTCCAGCGTGCGAATTAGATCGACATGAAAGACGACGATAGAGCTACTGTCTTGGACGGGAAGTAAGTCGGCTTGGACAGAGTGTCCAATTCGGGCGATTCACAATGCAGTGCGCCACCTAGAGTTTGCCACGGAGCGTTCATTTTGCCTAGTGCATTGTGCATGTGGGAGATGGTCGAAAAATTCGCAGCGCGGGACATCTGAAATTGTTAGTTTTTACGTAATTGTTAAATCGTAAGCGTATGATTCGAGTATATGTTTGCCGTTTTCTGTTCCATTTATGGTACTTTGTGTGAGGTGGCAGAGTGCTTTGCCCCAATCTATACCGAATTAGCTCAAGTTGTCTACTGACACTCGTTTCAAATGGGCCATGTTTTGTCGATCGTAAACTTGAACAAAAAAAAGCACTTTCCATGGCAAAATTCTTGGTGGCGCACTGCATTGTGAATCGCCCGAATTGACATTAATGCAAATACGGTGGTCCCAGAATGCATATATTTCTATTTTAATTCTATAATTCCGTTAAAAATGGCCGGGAAAATCGTAAAATAAGTTGTAGTGTTTTTGTGATGGAAAGGGTAAATCTAGCCGTTCGCATCACGGAGCTATATTACATTCAGTGTCGATGCTACATCACCTGCATGAAAAGTCGAGCCTCGCCAAGCCGGTTCCAGACCAGCGTGAGCCAGCGGGTCGGTCCAGTCGGTCCGGTCGCGGATGGAAACTAGTCTAATCTGAAAATAAAGCTTATTCCCACACAAACTGCAATTTAGTGGTAGCCTTATTGCCATTTGCGATAGGCTGGTTCCGCGCTAACATTATCGTTGTGATTTTGAAATCAGGCGGCGGGAATCAGGTAGGCTAGTCCTGCATATTATTTAGGCTAGTCCTGCATATTATCTGCATACATTAAGAGAAAAACCTCTTAGTGTATTCAGGATTCATTGTCCGCCACCTGTCCATGCATTCGAAGTCAAAATAACAATGGAGTCTTATGTTGGTCTTCTATGAGCACCTGCGCATACGGCGGCAAAAACAAAAACAAAAAACAAACAAACAAAAAACCAAACGTTGTATCCCTACCCAAACGGAACACTCATACGCATAGTCTATATATAGAATGGGGGCCGCCCAGTTCAGTTAAGGAGAATACACAAGAAAGTGTGGACTCTTAATTTAAGAATTCACGGGTTTTAACAATAGTGTGACGTCATAGCGATGGTTTAAATAATCCGAAGGTTCATTTCTCCGAAGGTTCGATAGTCCGAATTAAGAATAAGGTAAATCAGTACGAAGGTTCAATAGTCCGAAACGAAAATAAGGTTCAATTGACCGAAGGTTCATTATTCCGAATTGACAATAAGGTTCGATAGTCCGAAAAGGCTATAAGGTCCGATAGTCCGACTCGACAATAAGGTCCGATAGTCCGAATCGACAGTAAGGTCCGATAGTCCGAAGTGTCATACTAACGAACCGTATTGCCCATTCGGACTATCGAACCTTATTCTCAATTCGGACTAACGAACCTTATTGTCAATTCGGACTATCGAATCCTATCGTCTAATCGGACTATCGAACCTTCGGATTAATTAACCTTATTCTATTTTCGGACTAATGACCCTTCGGACTAAAGAACCTTCGGACTATCGGGCTGTAACCATCTAGGAAACATCGAACACCGGGCTGTGCACCAACAACGGAAACAAATTCACAATTTATGCTTACTTTTATGCACTAATATTTATCAATTTTGTACGCTTTTCTCTGACAGATCGCAGCTTGTTTGGAAGAAAGTCGGCTCAGGTTACAACGTTTACATTGATATGAACAATGCGACATGCAGATTCTGTTGAGAGCACACGAAATAATATATAGCAACTGAATCTTTTTACGAACTGAAACAAATAACACATAATTTATGTTCTTTTTTCCCCCTCAAAACTATACAGTATTCACCGATCTGAAACTTTGAAACGGAGGGGTTTGTTGTTACGCACCCTACTTTTTTTTTTAAAGCAATTTTGTGTCTGCAACAAAACATTCTAAAAGCAAAAGGAACCTTTAAGCAAGTGTCGGTATTTTATTGAACAGCATAAATAGAATAAATTTTACGTTAATTCACAGTATTAGTATATATAATGTTGTGTGGTGAAGGATTGGAATTTCCCATTCATAAATACATTTCAGTCGAAAAGTCAAAAAGTCAAAAAGTCAAAAAAGTTAAATGTTCACCAATTTCAAGTCATGTTTTGTTAAACACCCCTTAGCTGTGTTTAAGGTATGTACCTTGCGCCGAGTGATTCTAAAATATCACCTGACTTGGAGATTAGCGGGCACGTGGCGCGTACTGCGCGATGTGGCGCGTACTGCGCGATATGGCGCAGAACGCAGCGGTGTCGGGAAAAGTGTTTAAAACCAGTCGTATTTTGTCAACCGTTTCAAACCACCACATGACGAGCTCTCGACTAATAGAGATGATTAAACTGTTTTGGGTTATTATGCATATTTTATAAATGTTTATGAAATATACGGCTGTAAAATACCTGGAAACAGAGAAGAAAAAAATGCTTTAATTGTCGTTGAACAGCATTGAATTAATGTACATTAGTCCACATTATGTAAAAAATTAAATGCTGTGAGGTGAGGGTTTGGCTGTGAATACGACTTCATACATTTTATCTTTTATTAATGGTTGTTAAATGCCTGGAATTTGACTTTGGGAATAAAATCCTTTTAATTGAATTTGAACAGAACAATTAGAAGTAAATTCAATATTGGGTCCACATAATTTAAATAATGGAGCAAAGGATTCATGATCGTGAGGTTGTGGGTTCGAGCCCCGCCGTGGCCATGCGTGTTGTGCCATTGAGTAAGGCGCTTTACCTCAATTACTCCTCTTAACCCAGGTGTTAAATGGGTACCGGCATTATTCAATGCTGGGAAGGTAACAGACTCGCTGTGGAGGAGGTGTGGCGATCCCCCCCCCCCCCCCCACAGCAGCATGTAAGTCAGGCCCAATCGCTAAAGAAAGAGAGATGGGCACTCCGTTCCCTGTAAGCACAGGTTCGGCCTCTTAACCCTTTTTTTTCATTTAAAATATGTAATGTTGTTAGCAGAAGGGTTTGAATTATAATCAGACTTTATATTGTTTATCTTTATTAATGGCTCTGTAATAGCTGGGATTGGAGTTTAAGAAGAAAGTGCCTTCATTCGACGTTGAACGTCAAAATTATAATAAATCATCTGCATCAGACACACTGTGTCACTGCTCATTTTATTGTTGTTGTTGTTCTTGTTTTTTTACCAGCTCAGGCGTAAATATAGACCTATGCGTTCCGGCTATCTTAGAGGGTATTCTTTGTAATTTTAATTTATTAACAGTCAATGCATGAAATGTTGACTAAGGTTCGTCCTGGCGATATAAAAAAACAGTGCTCTCTTGACTCAGCATTGACGGATGTCTATCACAAGATACATAACTCCTATCAGAGGTTCAAGTGAGCTGAGCTACGCAGTTAACTTCCATACAATTCTTGGGCAGGTGTTCCTTTGTCTCATCCGGAGTGCCATAATGATAAACATTCAGTTAAAAAAAACGACTGAAATATTGCTGACATTCGTTCCTTGTCATTTGAACAAGGGATAACATACATAATAGTATCATATTGTAGCTGTCGATTCGGGAGTAGTCATCGGTTTGAGTTCTCTGCTTGATTAATACAACGTTTTGTATACAGTTGGTTGGAGGCAAATTATTCCCATGCCGCTGCGGGCGGCCGCGCGCGGAGCACGCCCCGCGCGCATTTATTCAGTTATTTCATTTCTATCCGCTCCGTTCAAGTACCCCCTCACCGGCAAAGGAAGTACAGTTGGGGGTGACTGACCGACGCCATCTTGCCTGACTGCAATTCATTTGCCGCGAAGCGCGGCCACTGCGCGTAAATAGAACAAATCCCCTGGTGTACATGCGTCACACACAAGGAACGGTGCGCGTCAACCAGCTAAATGTCCCGCCCATGGGACGTCGTTGTTAGGTAACACGGCGCCCTCTTTTGGTAGCGCACGGAGCTCATACCTAGGGTAACTAAGTGCAAACATTTAAAAACTGGTTTCCATAGGGGCCCTACATACATTACTATTATCAAATAAGGTTAAGTAAAGTTAAACGCATAAGGACAAGTGCACTGGTGAAACCTAAGACGAATATAAATGTTAACAAATACAAGTATTTCAGAAATACAGGGTGAGTAAAAAAAAACAACGAAACTGAAATGTCGGGACTATTGTTTTATTGAAGTTCTACATGTGGCACTTTTAAAATCTAGGGTATGAAAGCCCAATTCACAAGCTTTCTTTTAGTACAAGAGTCTTTCAAATCACTTATGTACTTTTCAAGTTTCGGAATTTTAAGCACAACCACCGTTTTAAAGTTCTGTCCACGGTTCACAAAAAAGGTGTGCGTGACTTCCCATCCGTTGATCATTTTCCCATCTGTGACTTGCCATCTTCCCAACTTCAATAAAAACGGCATAACTCCTCAGATCACCACGGCCACTAATTTGCAACATTCAACATGTCCACCATCCCGTTCAATGCACAGCTGGGCTCGGCGCATCATTTCTGCAACAGTACGGCGAATCGCCTCCCTGTCTTGTCTGAGAATGTCAATTTCACGAGTTATCCTTTCCTGGGGGTCATCCTGATTTGCCTACTGAAACTCTTGCAAGCGAGATCCACAAATCCGAACTGATTATGCATTCCATGACCAGAACCAAGACAATGGTTGTGTTCTTTTAAATTGTCTCATTCTTATCCCGCCCCGACCAGTTGGCGCAAGTCAGATTTCACCCGACCCCTTTATAATTGTTTCCTGTGCAGTCATGCATGAAAACTAATCCAGTGAAAATGTCACCAAAATAAGCAGGAAGAGTTACTCTAAAAGTACATATGAAAATATCTTATCTATATTGCTACAGAATAAAACTATGGCCAATTTTAAAACTGTATAGTTTTTTGGACTCGCACTGTATTTGCCACACACAAAAAATGGTGAACTTGGGTACAAATTATTCTGATTCACCCTGTATTCAGGCTGAAATAGGCCAATGTGAAATCAATAAAACAATTCCCCAGGTAAAGTAGCATACGTGTACACACTGTTAGTCTAGGGCTAGACGATGTTATGGTTTGATACGCGATAACCCGCCGCCGCGATAACCCGCCACCACGAGAGGGCGTTATCGTGACCAACCAATATTCCCATATTTTGGTATATTTGTTATTTTCTTCTGAAATGTCTATTTTGGGGATTCTTCTTTCACATCCTCATCTAAATAACATTTTCTTGCTGCATATAAGTTACTTGATCAATATGATGACATCAGGTGTAAAAAAAAATATTTAAAAAAATGGTCTAGCCCCCCCCCCCTTCAAAATAAAAGTGTCAGTAGCAAAATATTAGAAGATGACGTAATGTGCGAACGGTCTCCCCCAAGGGGTCATTTGAACCCCTAGGCTATTATAGTGCAGTGCCCATTGATGTAGGATTTTATCAGCCGCTCCCCATTGGAAATATGGTACTAGCCCCTCCCCTCCATAACACAAGCTACATGTATTAATTTTCAGAGGCCCAAGTGTCAAGAAAAAAAGCGGTCTACATTTCAGCACGTCTCCCTGCAAAAATAAATTCTGAATCCACCCCTGCTAGCCCCCCCCCCCCCCCTAAAATAATAGGCTCTGGAACTTCGCCTGTATTAAGGGTTACAAGAATCTATCTGCCAAGTTTGGTGCTTTGGACCAGTCGGTCACGATTCCGACCATGCTCACTGACTATAGACATTATAATCGCACCATTCCTAGACTATAAAAGGAAATTTGAATGTTATTCTCCCAAGCTAAGGCCAAAACAAAAAAGTCTCCGGTTTCTGGTATGCGCGCACGTCGCCGTAGCCATGCGCGTCGGCAAAATGAAAACGTTTTTTTTTTCAATGAAAGATGATGTCTCAAAACCGCCAAACTCACTGGTTTGACTAGAATCCTGCTGCTGCACAATTTTAACGTGTTTTTAGATTGGGTTATAGTCGAGAATAAGCTTTATGTGGCCTCTCTGGACTCCCATATATTTGCACTAAGTTTAGTCGGGCACCATTTGCAGTCATCAGCCGACTTTGAAGCAACAAAATCAGGTAAAAAAAAAAAAGCCGCGTCGCCGCACCACTTTTTGGGCAAGCTCCATACCAGAAACCGGAGACTTTTTTGGCCTAAGGGAGCTACATTAGAATCAGACAAACAAACAACAAATCCTGGCAAATTTGTAAAGGGGTCAAGTAGCTCAATATTTATAATATGAATAAGGGCCCGATTTTTATAAACTTGCCAGAATTTCATTCCATTAGCGCGATGCCAGTGCCGGCCGGACGAAGGTCGCGCGACGCGAAACAATATTGATGAGACGGAATATATGGGGCGAGCTTGAAGGTTCATTGCTCGTAGTGACTCTGAATAGTCAGTCAACTGCTGCATGTAAGAATGAACGTAGAACGGAGTTACGTCACAGCATTCATGTGAATAGCGCGTTGCATCTTTCGCGCAGCTGTGAACAACAATGTAACTCTCTCGCTGCGGAAATGAATGGCCCGATCTTATCGCCACAGGATACAATGTATTATGTTAAACGCAAAGAAAAAAAGCACCTACTGAAATAGCCTAGTGGTTAAGCTGTCTGACAGCGAAACACAGGGTAAGGGGTTCGAATTCACTCGGTATCACTTTTTGGTTTTCAGTGCAGGCGGTTTTGTCATTTAATTTAAGAGTTTTAATTTCCCGTCGTCATTTACCAACAGCAGTTAGCTCGGTCGGTCGGTAAGCTGACTCACAAGTTGGGACTGTCTGCGAAGTCCAGGTTGGCATCTGCGTACAGGTACGGGGTTCTTTTGCTGACTCGGCAGCAAGGCTTAGGGTGCCACCTCGTTTCCTCCCTTTATGGTGCCTGACTTTCGAGTTACATGGATGGACAGGGAAGGAGGTGTGGTGGGCCGGGTACCGAGTCCCAGAAGAGTTCTATATGGAAGTCGGTAAGGGGCTCATTGAGTTAGAGTCATAAGTCCGACTCCTGAAGACTTGGCCATCGCCACATAACTTTTTGTTTTAATTTTAATATCGGAGGACAATTGCAAGTATTATTAATATATTGAGAGCTTGTACTGTAATCGTTCGAAAATAACTTTAAAAATTGATGGAAACAAAAATAATGCATATAACATTACAAAAAAAAAAAAAAAAAAATAATCAAATCAGCTATAATGTTGTGTACGAAAGAAAATAATTATGCAGCCTGCTTTACCTTGTTGTGAAATGTAATCATTGTAAATAAATAAAGATTTGGCCCCGACGACACGGCATGCCTCACAAATGGTGTACCCCAGCAGGTTTCGTATCTCTCCACTAGCACTAGACAATTCGTCACGATGGAAAATTAAATGTCCCTGTCTGATGAGAAGAATACATGGTTCGAGGCTAGTAGCGGTTCGTTGTGATAACGCCCTCTCGCGGCGGCGGGTTATCGTGAATCCAATATACACAACAATGTCTTAGCCCTAGACTAAACGAAATGCGATAAGATTGTGGGTTGCCCGCAAATCATCGCAACTAAATTTGGTATCATAATCTTGCTAAAAGACTGTGCTTTCAGGAAATGTAGGAACTAAGGCGGAAATCTGCGGCGATCTATAGGCATATTTCCTGCGGTGCTGGAAAAGAAAACTTTCGAATTTGAAGTAAATGTCGATAGGGCTCGGCCCACTGATCTCTATATAAAGACTGGATAGCGGATATGCATACAACATTCACACAGTAGACTTTGCATATTGACCAATTCGCCCCCGGTCTCACGAAGATGGCCGCGTATAGCACGAACGCGCGCGTTGTATCAACAGTTGACGCGCATTTTGGTCACGTACACATATTATGATGTTCTAAAAGGGACACATTTCCGTAGTGATTATTATTTCAAAACGCCGAAAAAGTGGTATTTGCGGCATTTTAGTAACCACTACGTTAGAAAAATTGTAGTTAACCTTGGTCAGTGGTGGTGGTCAAAATATAAGTCAAGTGAACCGCGACGTTACAAAAGAAATCGTGCTGTCTATAAAAACGGCAACTTGTCTTTTGTAGATCACCAGCCGGTCTCACCAATATGGCGTCAAATTCGTTCATTGTGCGGCTCTTTATTAGCTATCCAGTCTTTATATAGAGATCAGTGGCTCGGCCAACCGAATGCGACTGGCCACAGTCAATGCACCGGTAGACTACCGGCGACTGTCACGAAGGCGGCAGTAGTCTTTGAAGGTGCATCGTTTCCATCAGACATTTTGAAAGATGTGTAGGAACTGATGACAGCAGTCCAGTAAGGCTGTACGAGGAAATTAAGGTGGAAACATGTATGAAAAGGAAACGTTGTAGAACAGCAGATTAGTGGAAGTGCAGAGCGTGTGCGAGGGCGAATCCAGAACATTTTTTTTGGGGGGGGGCAAAAAAAGTGTCCCCGAAAAATCTGGGCCCACTACCCCAGCCCCGCAAATTGTTGGATTAAAGATGCTTTGTCGTTCGATCTGGGGCAATTTCTGAACACTTTAACAAAATATTGTTTGAGGAAAAGATGGTGTTTGCGCAGTGTTTGCCTTTATTGCGACGTCACTTTAAAAAAAAATTATTCGTTGTTGTTATTGTTGTTGTTGTTTTCTGGGTTTTTTTTGGATGGCCACCGTTGAGCCTCATCCCAATCCGACGTTGAGTGTGTGCACTAAACGTAGTGACTACCGTAACGCCATGTTCAACTATCATTAGTGCAATGCAAATATACCATTGCGAATCTATATCTATTATCATGAACATTCCAGTGTTGGCTGAGGTGTAATATGCAAGGGTAAATAATCAAATTAGAAAACATCCAGATATATAACCAACTATTCGTATGAAAAATCAATTAGATTACACTCCGGTAGTCCAAATGCTTCTTTCAATCAATTCTGACAAACAAATTCCCGAAAAAATCTTTATGGAAATAATTTCCGGTTACGTTTATCAAAAACGGTTGTTGCGTTCCAGAGACTGCCATAGACCTCGGTGGTAATACTTCCCCAAATTAACTAACATTACTCACAACTCTCCAAGGTCTTAGTGGCACGCATAAAATTAAAGCTTATTTCATCATCTTTCATTCTCTGTTCAATTTTTGGGGTATCCTGATACATTTTTCGGTTGTTTTTACTCGTAACTATAATCATGAATCTTTTTATCTTGTTAATAAGGAATATATGACTATCTAATATCAATTCTGCTTGATATGTTTCTGATTGCATGAGACGGAGGCGTTGGTACCTAGAAACATCATAGTGCAGTAAGAACCTTTTGTGAATTACCAAAGAGCTACATCATGTATTCATTTTTTTCTGGTCTGCATTTTACGCTTACAGAAAGACAACCCCAATGTCACTCGACCTTCATCCTTCCAAACCAAAAGGATAAGTTTGCAAAAAAAAAGAATGATCCGTTCAAATAAGGAGATCATGCGCTGTGTTTTACCAGGACAGAAATCGAAAACAATCAAGGGCAATTAAGTAGCCATGGCCAGTTCACAATGTGAGATTGAAATACTAACAACGCGTAGGAGTACCGCAGGATACACGAGGCAGGTTTTAAGGCAGTCCATCTTCTGTAGAAACAACGATGATTGGCCACCGACACTGATTACCCGTCCTCACCTCGATTCTCCAGTGACGGGGAGAAAGACCGTCTCACAGCTCATACAGTTGTTGTCATTGCTAGCTAGCCACGTCCAGACTTAAAACACTGTCACCACAGAAGGACCAAGATTTCAGTACTGAACACATTGCTTGCCAAATTGATATTATCCGTAACCATCACAGGTTTGAAAAATTCATCGAACTCCAGGATGTCAAACTTCACTTCAACAAACAGTGAAGGCTCGGTGGCATCTGTCTATGACAGTTATGGCGAGAAGCTGTTGTTAGCTGCCTTGTACGGTCTCATTTCATTCGCCGGTGTGATCGGCAACAGCGCCGTCGTGCTTGCCCCGATCCTCTCCCGCAAACCACGCACCACAACCAACGTGTTTGTGATCAACCTGGCCGTGGCGGACCTCCTCATCTGTATGAGCCTGCCTATCACGCTCCTGGCGGTGCTGAGCGAAAGCAAGGAAAAGCTACTTATTCCACCGCCTCTATGTGCTTTCCAGGGCTTTCTATTCGTCGTTTGCATCGGGTGCAGTATGAACAGCATCGCGTCAATTGCCATCTACCGCACACTGATCACTCTTCGGACGAACCAAAGCCGTCGGAAATGGCTGTTCAACCGTCGCGGCCTGGCTGCTATGGTTGCTATAAATTGGCTGCTCCCTTCAAGTGCCAGTTTAATGCCCATTGTATCTGAGGCCGGTTCGTATGAATACGACACTAAAATTAGTACCTGTTCCATTAACCCGAGCTCCAAAGGCTTCAAAACATTTGCCAAACTCATTACAGCCTGCTACCCATTGCAGTTGGTTGTCATTTTCGCCAGCAGTGTCTTCATCGTATTTTCTGTAAGGAAACACATCAGAAGAGTAAACTCCATTCGACAGCAGCAAATAGCTGTTGTCGGTGCAGTCATGAAGCTGAACGCACAGCCGGCTACGCATGGTGATGGTCAAAGATCAGCCCAGCCGATTCAAAATCGTCTCCTCACTCGAGAAGGCAAGCCTCCCTTTCGTCGAAGTCTTGACGTTACCTTGAGTTTATTTCTAGTCGTCTTTTGCTTCATGTTCTGTTGCACACCCTATTTAGTGACAGTGTTTGTCATGCATGGCAAAGTCCATAAATTGCTCCCTTTTTTAGCTGCATTGCTTATCGCAAACAGTTGTTTAAATCCTGTAATTTACACGGCCCGGCACCCAGACTTTAAGGAAGTGTGCCGCTGCATCATGCTGTGTAGACTCTCAAAGATACCAATGAAATCATATTTGCTACGCAGAGTGCTTAGATTTCGAGAAAGATAAGCTCTTATTTTCTTCATCCTACGCCCTTATGTAAAAAGTTTATACCCAATAATGCAACAGTTTTTAACTCAGTTGTCGAAATGAAACTTCAAAATCGAACATGTTTTGTTCAGTGATGGAGCCAATCTGCATATGGACATTAGACCTCCCTGCGTAGAATCTTTACTCCATCCGATAATCTTTCCCACGGAGTACCAGTCACCTGTAAATCGTAACCGAACCACTATATCAGTCACTGAGTATTTGCGTATTGTGTACGTAATAATCGAATTAGTACAGATTGATGTGTGAGTTTCGTGTATTTCGTTTGCAATGGTACTTTTATATACTTTTATGTACGCAAACCATTAAAAAAACCCAGAATTTTAAAATTCAGCAGTAGTTGTACACACTTATGCACTGATCTGGACGTTCGTGCGTCTTTGTATCTAAAATCGATTACCAAACTACGTCACTTCATTACATGTACGTCTGTTTTGTAACATTTCACTGATATGAAATTACATGTGTATTCACTTCTCATTCGAACTGAGCGTTTATTATCGCTACTTCATTAACATATTCCATGTGTTTTGGACAAAACTGGATGCCGTGTCACATGATGCAAACTAAACAGTAAGCGGTTCTCATCTCTTGATGAATGGTTTAAAAGTAATCACGTTAGTACATTATGTTTAATGTGGGCTAAATAACATGCAAAATATGCTTACATGTTTGGGTTGTCGGCAGTTTCATATCGACATGACGTCACAGGGCAAATGGTCTACATTAAAACTCACGTTCTTTCATAAATGTAAAAAAAATATATATATCTGACACTTCAATCCAATCCGGCCTTCTGCTTTCAATTTCCAAAAGTGCCAATCACATTTCAATCACAGGTGGGGACTTGGAACAAAACTCGGCAACCCAAACCGATTAACGCGCATGGCTACGGCGACGCGCGTGCAGACCAGAAACTGGAGCATTTTTTTCGTTGGCGTATTAAGAGAGCAAGCAACAGCTTGTAAACTAGGGCGCGTTAAATAGTACAATACGTATGCCAGTACAGTATCGGGAATATCTGTACATGTATATAATTTAACCGTTGCAGTTATGCGGGAATGGCATACGTATTTCACTGTTGAACCCACCCCCAGGGTCACCGTTTTAGCCGACTTTCGGCTGACTTTGACAGATTTTTTTGGGTAAAAAAAAACGAGTTTGACAGAAAATTTGACAGAATGGATTATTTGGGGGCAGATTTCTGGCAGAATTCTGCAAAACTGGTTATTTGACAGAAAAACATAGCAAATAAAAAAAAAATGGTACATTTGTTTCAAAATGCTCCAACTTTTCAAACAAACCCTTGCATAATGGGACAGGTTGGCTGGTGTAGGTGCTGAGGTTCACTGGGAACAGGACTTCGTCGTGACGCAACAGCGTGTAGCCTGAAATTTACGCAATAATATCATAACATCTTTAACTGACTGTACGTTGTTTATAATATAATTTGAATTTTAATACCACATATGCATGGATTTTATGTGTTTGTAGTGCAATTCGAGTAATTCTGTGGAATTTGGCAGATTGTTGATAAATCTGACAGATTTTGAAGTGCATTTAGCAGAATTTGGCAATGACCGGTCACCCTGCCCACCCCTGTCATGATATGCTTCCCTCTGCTAAAGAGGGTGGACCTATAAATAGACCCAGAATTGCCTGCGTGGGCTAAATAGGCATTTGTATTCCCTCGAATTCTTTGCTATTAGAGCATTATGTGGGCTATGAACTTATAGGTTTGCAACAAAAAGAAAGGTGGCTGGAAGCCTTTGAAAATAAAATGGAACCCAAACAAGGCTCTATTTTGCGATAGAGCACTGGCATCATTTTTCAAAATGGCGATGGTCCTCAAGACTACTTCTCAGGGTAATCAGGTGCGCGCAGGCCCTAATTATCACTGAGTTCTATAGTAGTCGATTTATAGGTCTGCACCCTAAGAATTTGATTGTTATTTATTAACCCTAAAAGGTTTTTTTTCGCGACCCAAGCTGTTAGGACTTTTTAGCCTCGAGCTTTGCGCATCTTTTGATACCAAAAACATAAAACTCGGACCATAGGGTTTTCTTTCTCTCGTTGAGTTTCTCCCCGTCATCCACTCTTATGGCAGACCTGTCTTCTCAAGTCTTACTTGGTTAAAGATTCATTAGGGTCAGGCTAATTGCTCTATTACGGACACTGACTACTGTGCAACTTCAGTTTGCTTACCATGTGCGTTTTTGCCTTCTGAACAAAAGATGGAGGAGGACCTAAAAGGACACAATATCCTCAGAATCGTACAAACAAACAAGCTGTAGCCATGTTGTCCGTCTCGGGGAGGGGGCGGGGGAATAGCCATGCAATTGAAACGGATCGAGATCTCATGTGAAACTGTTCTGCACAGACTCCTCGCATGCTGCAGTCATTGACTGAGATATTCCCACTACCAACGGAACACCAGGGAGCCATTCTCATAAACATGTTGTTTTTCTAACTTTAATGACCCCTAACCCAAATTTCCTACCCCACGAATTGTGTTTGTGTTTACTAATTGGACCACGAGCAATCGATCTAGCCTATTTTCGACACTAAAATTTCGCCTCTATATAAAGGCATATGTCTTCCAAAGGTATAACCTATGACGCTAAAGCGTCTCCCAAAGGTCCTATTTGTGGCTGTGTGTGATGTCAGTTAATTCAGCTGCCATCTTATAGACTGTTGCCGGGTTTATAAATCTGTAAGGGAAGTGATACAATTGAAAGCACCACTGAAGATTCAAATTTAATTTGCATCCTTCTTAGAACCCATACCAACATTGCTCATATGAACACATGAGTACAATATTATGCACACAAAGCCATCATTCCTTTGTAAAGCGTTGAAGGTTTCCCTTACTATTCATTGAATATTAATATCAATGGTTCTTTCAAATATGTTATGCTCTTACTTTATTCATTGCGTTATTATTTAGAAACGAAAAGATTCTGATTTTCAGAAATGTTCATTCAAGTGGTTTTCTTTTAATATACTACTTTATAAACTAAACAGCAGTTACACGTACTTGAATGACCCGTACTGTAAGCAAAGCCACGTACAATGTGACAAATAACCGTGTGTAAGTATATTGCCGCAACTCTGAGGAGGGATTGTTTAAAAGAACTGTCCGAAGAATGCATCAAATCATCTCCGCGGCATTTTATGTAACTGATGAATTATTTGTTTCACCAATACGAGTTACGTACATGTAAATGGTATATAAACATGATAATGGACGCTTCAAAATCAAAAAGGGGATATTGCTTCTGACAGTTTGAGCACCGGAAGTGCATAAAATAATGTCAGTTCGTTTTCTAAGTAAACACAAGTGATGTTGTTATATAAATAAACAAGGTATATCTCAATATCAATAATCAGTTGTACGTACTGCGGTTCAAAGAAAGATGCGTCATAGGTCGGTCATAATCCGGCGAGTGTTACTAATAGTAACGGCCATAATCACATCCATGTATTGCAATAATCCCAATAAGTGCCACTGTGCACGTAAGTGCCAATTATTTGTGAGGCTTTCTGCTGTTTTACCAATGGAATATTATTTTGCCATACACTTTGTGGAAAACTCCTTACTGCATACGCTTCAAATCCAGCCTATCGCTTTTAATGATAATGACCGCCGGATCGTTTGCGACATTAATTTACATGTAATGGCGAAGTCATCCATACTTGTTTGGACGAAAAGAAAAGTGTAGTATAAGTTCTTGGAACAAAACACAGACAATACATTAACTGAACTGTCTTCATACCTTGCCTTTTTTTAAATTAGTTTCATGTCATCAATTTATTTATGGAGTTAATGAGTGTGTGACTGCTTATGTTGAAATTCGCGTGAAATTGTAATATTTCTTGTTTCCCTTTATCGACATGTCTTTTATATAAACGCACCATTTATTTGTGTGTTGTCAAAGAGCTCATTGCCAACAATCTGAAACTTACTGGAGCTGGAATCAGACCCGGCCAGTTAACCATTTCAATAAGATGTTAACGCTTTGTGAGGAGGAGGTAGTGGCTGGGTAAACCGAGGGTGACGTGCAACATCATCGACGATTCGAGGTCAGATACCAAATCGAGGACTCCTCGGTTGGAGAGCGTGTACAAAACCAAATGAGAGCTGTTGCAAAAAAAGTTAGAAAGTACAAGCAATGAAAACGGAAGAGTAACAGAAGAACATTCTCAATTTACACCATAAACAAACGTGTGTGATTGGGTCAGTTTGTTTTTGCATTCAATAGGGGACGTTGAAAAGTAGAGGACAATAGGGTCCCCAATTCCCAGGACGTCCTCGATTTGGATTAGTGTACAAAACATATGGGACGTCTTCCTAAAAAGTTAAAGTTCAAACAAAAGAGGGACCTTAATAGGGCGTCCTCGGTTGCAGGCTAATACACATGTACTTGCGTGTACAAACACTGCCTTGTGGGGTACCGGAACAATGGGAGGTACCCCACAAGGAATGCCCACCGACTTGCGGGGTACCGTTTTGGTACCCAACAAGTTTTTCACGAAATAGATATATGGATTTTACTCAAAAACCAGGAATTTCCAAGGTGGGTTGATCCGTCGCAAATGGAAGAGTTTTAGAAAAGGGATATTAAGTCCGAATTTCAGCCCAGGAAATTAATTCAGGTTAAAATAAGGGTATTTTGAAATTAGTATGCGACGTTGCAAAATTTTAGTACACGAGAACAAAGGAAATACCCCACTTATATGCCTATGTGAGTATGTGTGTGTCTGTGTGTGGGTGTTTTGTTATTATAAGAGGCACTCAGTTTCACCTGCAGTAGGGATAGTGTCATATGGCTTCCTTCAAACAAATAAAGGGGAAACGTCATGATTACCTTTCAGCACGAAGAGGTTCCCCACCCCGTCTGCAAAATCCTGCATACGCCGCTGCACGTTTGTCTACAAACCTATACAATTATTGTACAGTTTGGTCGGGGGACGCTGACTTCCAGTTGCAAAAGCAAACGCTCTATTTTAATGTGCATGCATCATGACCAGTTGCGGCTGGGCTGATCCGTTTTGACATAAGTAAAGGGCCCAGATCTCCCAAAGAATGACAAAGTAAAGTAAAAAAATATATATATATATACAAATAGTGATGGCGTTTTGACCGTTGGATAAAAATTCCCTAACAAACACACAAATGATTAGGCCTAGTTAGTTTGAGGTCATTAATACCTTACAGGTAGTCCGGGTGTCAAACCCCAATTTGGAGGTGGACCGTGAATTAGGGTCCGCACAAAAGGTTTTTGCATTTTCTTGTCATTTGGAACTTGTAGATCAATATTCCGGCGGGTGCCACCCTGGCACCCCTCAGCATTTTTTTTTTAAACTCAATTAATGGACTTCTCTCAACCCACTCTCTTGCTGTTCTACTAACACTGAAAGAAGAGGAGGGGTCTGATGCTTATGGGCACGAGGTGAAACCCGCTACCAGGGCAATTTATACGCCTCTAATAGACATGGATCCTGCTGATCCCGACACAATGCTGACAGCGATGGAGGAGGGCCAGCGTCTTACACAGGAATGCGGCCAGACAGTTACAGTCTTCACGACTGACCAGCAGCTATACAAATTGGCTGTTAACGTCATGTGGGCATATCCTGAACGGTTCTCACAATTCATACCAAGGCTAGGAGGTATGCACATGTTAATGAGTTTCATTGGCTGCGTGGGAAACCTGATGGCAGATAGCGGTCTGGAAGATGTGATGAAAGCAGCTTTCGGCGGTGTTGCCCATATGCTTGGTGGGGAAAAGTTTCCACAGAACGTTAGGGCTCTGCGACTTGTCACCGAGGAGATTCTGCGTTCAGTTGTGACGCTGTCGAAGACAAATGCAGAATTAATGAGAATTCTTGAACGCAATTCTGCGAAGAGCTTGACAACAAGCTGTGGGTTGAGAATCTTGTGAAACCTGTGCTCCTCATGATGATATTTGTCCGTGCGGAACGAGAGGGTGACTGGCCGTTGCATCTTTGGGCTGTAAACGAAATGATCCCATACTTCTTCGCCGCCGGACATCACAACTATGCAAGATATGGCTTGTACTACCTCCGATCGATGGAGAGGCTACAGGGTGAAGTTCTGGAAATGTTCATGAAGCGAGAAAATGTGATGCGTCACAAGAAAGGACTGTGGAATGGCATTTGATCAGATATGTACATAGAGAGCACATTCATGCGCTACGGTCATGGCCCTCAGGGAATCGTTGGGATTACACTCAAACCAAACACCCTGAAGAAATGGGCCTACAGTATGCACACCTGCAGCCAAATCACCCAAGACCTCACAGATAGGTTTGACGGATACAAAGTAGCAGAGGTTACTTTCCACAAAGAGGAAATGCCATCCCGTGTACGATCGGATGCTGTGGATAGAGAAAAGATAAGTGAAAAACTCAAGTCTTGCATCAACCTTCTTGCCCCGGCTGACCATCCAGATGGTGTCATCAACATTGTCACGGGAAGAATCGGGCTGCGGAAGGTTAATGCGCCAAGGGTCGTTGAAATTGGAAAAGAAAGGATGCAATCTTATGAAAAAAGCTGGCCTGAAGGATTCAACTCTACGCTCTCTAAGGATGTCGTGACCATGGCAGTTACACGCAAGAGTTTGAAAGTTGAATCTGCTGCAGTATGCTACGTAAACCTTATTCACTCAAAGGTGATGGGCCTTCAAAAATCTCGCGATTTCAAACTACTAAATATCCTTAAATATGATATGAGCTTGCACCAGTGCCAACATCCATGTTTGATAGGAAGGGAGAGATGAGGATATCAAAGACGAAGTCAGCACTAAAACGACAGCTTCAGGTAGAGACCTCGCAAAGACTGGCTCCCCCACCAGATGTCATAATCATCGACGGCTGTGCAAACCTCTGGGTTATTCATTGGCCAAATAAGAGAGCAACTCAAGATTGCGCAGACGACTTCACCAAGTTCGTCTTTGCAATGGTACGGGATTGCGATGTTTATTTGGTTTTTGACAGGTACCTCGACTTCAGCATTAAGAGTGGAACCAGGTCAGCGAGAGCTGGACAGCAAGTTAGCAGGCACCACAAGCTTAGGCTTCAGACTCCATTACCACCGCAAAAGGTAGTTCTGAATGTCACTGAGAACAAAGTCCAGCTGATAGACATCCTGTGTCAGCATTTGATCCAGGCAAGCGAAACAGCAGAGCTGAACGACTACAGACTAGTCATTACGGGTCAGCACTCCATCCCGACAGAAATTCATAAAGGACGTCAGAAACTTCTTGATAACCTGAAGACGACGCACGAGGAAGCGGACGCAAATGAGGGAGCAAAAAGCATCAAGGTCCTTTGCGATGACACTAATGTATTCACCTTGCTGGTATACTACTTCCGAAAACGTAATCTACAGTGCTTCCTGATGATGGAATGCACCAGTTCTAGAAGAGCAATAGTAGATTTCGGAGAGACTGCTAAAAATATGAAGCACTTGTCCAACAGTTACCAGCTGCACATGCTCTAACCGGATGCGACACTGTTGCCAAGTTGTGGGGGAGAAGGAGAGGCACTGCTAAGAAAATGCTTGAGGCGGGCCAAACTCTTCACAAACTCAGTAATATTGATGCTTGTATTGAAGAGGTGATTGCCATAGCCGATGAATTTAGTGCTGCATGTTATGGAAGTAAGGAGAAAAGCAGCATGTCTGATGTGCGCCAAGCCATTTGGACCACAAAGATGTCTAAACCAAAAGTCACCGCAGCGCCAGATCTTAAGGCTCTACCACCTACTACTTCAAGCTAAACGTGCTACATGCTCATATCCAGACAGCTATATGGAAGTCAGCTGACAAGTCCGAACCACCGACACTTGATCCAACAAAATTTGGCTGAGCACGTGAAGAGTCATCAAAGTCATTAGTCCCAGTTATGTTGCCACCAAATGTCGACCTTGCTCCGTTTGTGGTCTTGAAGATGATACGATGCGGATGTTTCTCTGACAACCAGTGTTATCCCGCATAGTGTCGATGCACAGCCGCCAGATTAACTGGCACAGTTTTCTGCTTCTGTCGTGGCGAAAGTGGTTGCAGGAATGAGCAAACCTGGGCAGCCGCCGAGTTTGCTACTGAGGAGGACTCAGACACAGAGTAATACGCATCAAAACAAGACAACAAGATGAGGCACTTTCAATTCTTTCTTTTCTGTTTTGTTTCAATTTGCTTTTCATTTTTTTATTTTAGAATACATCGTTGGGAATTTTACGTGGCGGCAGACTTAAAAAGATCATAATTCACCAATGACCTAACACAACATCGGTTTTCCAGCATACATGATGTATAAGACAGTAAATAAGGGTTGTTGTATTCTGATTTTAACAAATGTTTAATAATTTTATGTTGAGATTTTACCTTTTCAGACTAAATTTGACTCAATTCTCAAACATAGACAAAATTCCACATCCGTTGATTACGTGAACAAAATAATGGCCCAGAGTTTGCCAGATAAGGTCGGAGATATAAATATGTCTTTATGCAAATAGTGGTTAATATTAATATGCAATTACATGTTTATATTTACATTATATCTGTAGCTTCAATCAAGTCAGTGACCCTGAAAACATGAGTCTAGACACCTTGTTGGAAACGTTTTGACGAATACATGCGGAGATATGACAAAAAAGTTATATTTCCGATAATGGCGGATGCTATTTTGCATATTAATGCATAATATGAATGCACTGTTGCTGTACAAACAGCTTCAATGGAATCATGGACCCTGAAAACATGGGATTAGACACCAAGATTGATAGGTTTGGACGAGATCTTGCAGATATATATACAAAAGTTGTATTTTGCATAATGGCGGCAGCTAATTTGCTTATTAATTGATTTTTAAAAAAAGCTCAAGGGTGCCAAAGTAGGTCCAAATGACAAGAAAATGCATTTTGTGTGGACCATAATTCACGCTTCCGTGGTCAACCCCCGGACTAAGGAGACATTGAATTAATCCCTTCAAAGTGCAGAGCCTCAACATGAGATAGTATAGGTGACTAGGATGCCTAATTTTACTTTACGGGCTCTAGCAGATGAGGCAACTATTAGTACTACTACGACAGCCATCCAAAACACCCAACGAAAGACACGAAGCCCGGGATCAATTAATAAGGTGCGACGTTCAAACCACCCTACTCTGCGTATTTAGCTTTAGTTAAATTATGGGAAAACAAAATACTTACCTCCAACTCAAGTATTTCACAACTATCCATCACAACGCTTGATACAGCTCCATCAAACGACGGCGCAGCATAGCTATACTACTTCTCAATCCTGCGTGCTACCGAATGGTAGCCTGTAAGTATTGTTTGTCTGTGTATGCCGCGCGCAAGGATGAATTCAAAGTATACAATTGTATACAATGTATAATATAACTGAAACACCAAGCACAAGTGGCATTTCGCTATTATCGAAAGAGCGCTATCGTCTGGAATGCGATTTTTTGGGGGTCTGAAAGTTCCCCAAGAGAAGGGTACTCTCCTTAAAGATTGAAAGATTATGGAGAGTACCCTTTAAAAGTGCTTAGACTTATATGGCTTATGCGATTTGCGGTTTTTCCCTCAGTCCGAGACGAAACCCAAAGCTATTTTATTGGTGACTGCTCTGTGTTCCGACACCCCTATAATTATGTTCCAACAACCCGCAAATAAGATTGTGATAACCAGGACTGCACTCGAGTGCCTTGCATTCATTCAATCATCTGAGGAAAATGTTCACATCTTCGTTCCAAGTTGGCCATTTACAAGGTCCATGAAACTATTACAGTTTGGTAAACTTGCTTCGAATGATCATTGACCTTTCAGTAGGGGGATAGTTGTGTTTAAAGAAGAACCCCCCCCCCGGAGGTAATTGGGTATATTTCCCAAAAACAGGCACGGTGGGGAATATGGGGGGGGGGGGGAAGGGGCGAAGGAGGGCGGTTGCATCCTTTCTAGACACCTTGATGTTTGATTTATCTGCTGGAGTCCTGAACATTTCTACATCGGGATTCCAGTTGAAATATTAAAAATAAATTGTTTTCGCGATTTCCTTTGCTGTTTTACCAAGTAGGCCCAACAATCGAAAATCGGCTTTTGCTGGTGTAATAACAGCTGCGATTGGTGATTTTCATTTATTTTCGGGGGAGGGGGATACAAACAAACATTTGTGGAGTGCAGCTGTCACCAATCGAGTGCTGGTCTCTTGCCCTTGACCGGTGAGGTTGGAGGTCACTACGATCCGCTGTAGGTCAATTGCCGCAGCAGCAGCACCAGTGGCGGTGGCGGCTGGCGGTGGGGCAGGAGGAGTAGGAGGAGAAGGAGGTGAAGTGCAGGAGGAGGGGGAAGAGGAGGGGGAAGAGTAGGAGGAGGAGTAGTGGCATCGTAGTTTGGGGCATTGGATTCATGGTCTGCGGGGAATTCTGCAGGTTGTGGGTTTGTGTCCAGCTGGGGGATATCGTGTATGCGCCCTTGGGCAAGGCAATTTGTCACTCTTGCTTCTCCCAACCCAGGAGTAAGTGGGTACATGTGAGGGCAGAGATTGACTTAAGCTATTTTGCGTCAAAGTGGCAGCATCGAACTGTTTACTTCCCAGGGAGCTGAGATGGCATTTGGTATGTTTAATTGGCCAAATGTTCAGAGGTTATAATGATGTAAATCGCTTTGGTAATAGTGCTTTTTCAGAACTAGTGATTGTTACTATTTATTAACCTGTTTTGTACAATGAGCTTAAAACTCAGAATGTTTGAGAAACAAACCGATTTTGAACGGAATATTTAATGGTTCCTTCTCAAACAATCAGCATCTTACTCGGTGGAAAAATCCTTCGAATTTCATGCAGATAAAACAAACCGTTTTATCGAACTGGATCAACATACTATCAAGTAGCAACATTACGCCTCAAATTAGCTTGACTTGAAAAAACCCCAGATATAACTGAAACAAATTCCGCCAGTCCTCCAGTTATAGTAGCCCAATTCTTAACGTTTCCTGTTGATTTTCTCATAATCGAATCTATTCAACTCTTTCTTTGCTTACAGTGTATCTACATTTCTGACCATTGATGTGGTTAACATTTCTTGCAGTACCTAGATAATTCACCCACAAAACGATGGAAGATTAACTTTGTTGGTAGATTATCTGTTGGTGATATTTTAGCGGCCAGCTGCTACTTTTTTATTTTAAATAACAATAACAGTAATTCGAAAGTGTTCGATTTCCCGGAGGAGGGAAAACCGGAGGGCCGGGAGAAATACCCACAGGAGAGAACCTACTCACGTATGTATGGTCCGCGGACAGGATTTGAACCAGGGCGACAATGGTCAGAGGCGAGCGCTTTATAAAAGCCACCCATGCCACCCGCAGTTCTCGGAAAATGATAAGTACGGCTATATACTCACATATATAACAAACGATCTCGAATGAAACATTTATCCAAGAAATGTACGAGGAATTGCCTAGAAAACAGTATTTCACTGAGCAAGAGGTTAATAGGTTAATAGAGGTTTTTGAATGTTTGTGAGCTAAGCCTGTCTAGGGGTATCTAGTGTTGGGTTGTGTGGAGTCGGGATGTGAGTTGGAAGATTGTCCTGACTTTCTAGAAGATGGCGCTGAAGGTGATTGTTCAACATTGCGATACCCCTCTGTTCCGGCACTCCTTTGTTTCGACACCCCTATGTTCCGACACACCTATTTTCCGACACACGTATGTTTCGACAGCCTTATGGTCCGACAACCTATATATGTTCCGTCTGCTCAACCAATCTTCCCCAAACCCCTATGTTCCGACACTCCTTTGTTCCGACAACCCGTGCATACCGTTGTGTTATCCCACTTAAAGTGGTGCGTTGGGCCTAGAAGTTGGAACATACACTTGTAGGGATGAAAATCTGGGTGTCGGAACATAAGTTTGTCGGTTGAGCAGTCGGAACACAGGGTGTCGAAACATAGGTGTGAAACCGCGCTGTACACTACAAAACCTCGGTGTGAATTACCACCGGGGTATCTTCATCGGATCACTGGTGTAATGTTTACACAAGTAAGATGCGAGTAATAGAAAACCGCTTTTAGAAATCTTCACAATTTAAATTTGCACTTTCAAGATCCCGCGTAAAGTTTGCTTCGTCGTTTCGCCGTTCGCATTCGCTCCGTGTATGAACGTCCACCTTTTCACTGCATAGAGAATACTTGTGTACCGGAAGAAGATTAAGCCAACGATTCCTGTGTAACCGTGTCCTGCGCAATTTTGCAATGATGCTGACGATGTTGCCTATGAAATAAACAGAGAGCTAAGGGGTTAAACTGAGAATATTTCAAGCACATATTTCGCTCTAGTCCATTTTCTGATTTTCTTTTCGCCAAACCTGATTGCGAGTGTATCTCGACACTGTGCATGGTTTCAGGTGTCAGGATTTCTTGCTCAAAATCTATTGTACGGCAGAAATCTTGTCGTAACGGTTAAGCATGTCATGCCCTTGCCAAGGTTTAGGGGGACATAAAACATGTAGTTAAAAATCACCGTATGCTCCATTGAGTCTAACGACTTTGCAAGCTCCGTCGAATATAGCTAAAGCCTAATTTAATGCACTAAACAGATTCAGATTATGCGTTCAAGGATTTTTGCTAAAAATTTAAAATGTAAATTAAAAATTTTAAATTCCAAATCTCAAATTTCAAATCACAAATTTTCAAAATTATCATATAAAATTAAAATGTAAAAATAAAATTAAGTTTTAAAATGTATAATGTATTATTCAAAATTATTTTATGATTTGGTTAGAGGGTTGTTTATAGCTGGCTTCGTGAACGTGCAAATTCGGCGTTTGGCCTATTATGAACCAAATATTTATAATTAATGGGTTAAAAGCAAGAGCGAATAATTCATGGTTTCGTCCAGAGCAGAGAATTCTCCGTCTGATGACCAATACGCCCACCGGTGTTAAGTTGTCAAAGAAGAAAACAAATCACCCGTCCTGTGTTGTGGAGTTGTATGCAACGAACTGCGCACAGCCGACCAACTCTCAGACAGTACCTCGCTGGTCTAGTGTAAGCAAAGCTTCTGGAAGTTTTAAGGTAAGTAATATGGCTATAGCTTGATTGGTTTTATTTAATTGACACAAAACTGGATCCAAAAAATGCCTTGAATTTACAGGGGTGGAATGAGTGGCATTTCGACACACTTCTTCGAATGTATATTCTGGGCTAGTCATCGTGTAGTGTTTAGCGTCATTGTATAGGTTTTCCCGGCTATTTTAAAGATTTTTCACTCAAATTCACCAACCCTGTCTTTGATTTCGTCCACGAAAAAATGCACAGCCTTTAAACAATACCAATTTAGTCATTTACCATTCAGTTATAAAGTTTGGTCACTCTTTTCAGTCACTGGGTAGAGAATTTTCGTCAATACATATCAAATTCGTCTAAGCTGTTGCCGAATGGCAGCCTTCATGAATTCGTCTTATTTAAATCATCTAGACGAATTAATTTCTGAAACTCAATTCGGCGTATAGACAGACAAAATCGAATACTCCGCCAAAAAAAAACAACGTTAGTTCATTGTTTGAATTTGTTTGGACTAAGATTGAAATTGTCTTGCAAAAGACGAACTTGAACATTGGAAGTGCTCTAAATCGGTGTTGCTGGACAAATTTGAATATAAGAATAGGTGAATTCGAACGAAACATGTTTTCAAATAGCCGAGAAAACCTATAGTAGTAATACATTTACTGCAGATACATGTAGGGTCAATAAATCGATTTATTGTTTCTTAATATTTCCCACTGATGTTGAAACAAAACCGAAAATTGCAACCTCCTTTGACAGGTAAGGTGACCCTCATGAAAATAACTGAGTAAAAAACACAATCCATATCAACTCAACACGGCTATAAACATGTGAGAACCAACAAAACTACAGACATTTCAGTAAATTACATATATTAGGCCGATTTCGAAGCGGATTTTAATCAAGGATCAAATGAAAGAATTTGATGGAAACCTTGGGTCGTATCTTATTTCTTTCAGCCTTCTAAGTACACGGAGAACAAGAATCACGTTCAGCAATATGACAGAAAACTTTATAACTGTATTGCAGTGCTGTCTTAGTGGCGTCTGTGCAGTGGCTACAGTCGAAAATCTCCTTGCGATTGCAGTGTTTGCTGGCACCAAAAAGCTCCGCATGAAGTTCTACGCTTTCATCCTCAACCTGGCCTTGGCTGACCTCGTGTTTGCCATAGCAGCAATGTTAGGCACATGGATCAAGACACCGGTTATCAGTGCTTGTATTAATGCAACCTTCGCAGTTTCAATATTGACTATTCTTGCCGCTGCCATCAATCGCTACCTGGCCCTCTCCCTGATGCCACCGGCTCGCTACGATTCACTGGTCACTGGGTGTCGTCTAGTCGGAGTCTGTATCGTTTTGTGGTGCCTAGGCCTCGGCTTTTGCTTACTTACGTCTGACGCGGACATCAAAGCAGTATTAAACGGAGTACAGTACGTTGGATTATCACTGGCTGTGTGCATTGTTTGGGTTATCACTGCACTTGTTTATTTCCTGGCTTTCCGTAAGATCAAACAGTATACTCCACCTCTTGCATCCGCGGCGGCAGGCACCAGTGCCAACGCCGAGCGAGATCAAACCCGAGTCCAGCAGACTCGTCGTTTACTGGTCGTGTTTGTTCTCATTCTGGCCGTGTCATTCATTTCGTGGGTGCCTATTAGCGTGCTGAGGGTGATTCGCTTTTTCGATCGACCGTTTGGGCAAAGTGATAACTTTCAGGTGTACATTTGGGGAAGTCGCCTACTCTACACTCTCTCTACCGCGATCAATCCGTTGGTATACTGGTGGCGATTGGATAGTTTTAGGGAGGGATTTCATTCCTTGTTCTGTCGTTGTGTCACCAAGGCAAATCCTAGCGAAATTGAAGCTGACCTGACTACTAATGACAAAACAATTGCTGAATCTGGTTTGTAAACGTTCAGGCATGTTATGTCGGAAGATATTTTAAGCTTGCTAAATCTCGGGGGAAAAATCGGTGTCTTTCTATTTTTAAAATGTTTTTTTTTGCCTGTAATACTAAAGACTTCATAATATTTTAATTGTGCAGTCTATGGCTTTTTTATGACAGATATGTTAATTCATTCGAAAATACCCTTTTTGTTGCGTTTAATTTAATCTAAATAAACTTTTGTTAATAATTCATGAACATACAATATTTGATTTATCGGTTTGTTAATGTAGAATAATTAGCTTATGGTTGTTCGAGTAGAACCATAGTAAGGGCATGGCTTTGTGGTGACAGATACTATCATTTTGTTAGTAATCTTTTCGTTGCCTTTAAGAAATTAAACCAAATTGAATTTTTGAACGAATTGATGAACACAATTTGAAGAATGATTGTCTTGTTAATATAGCATCTTTGGGTTTTTGATCGAGTTAAAGAGATTAAGGATATAGTTTTTTTGGTGACAGATATGATCATTCTTTTGAAAATAATCTTTTCGTTGCCATTAAATAAATCCAACTACTAGGTTTTAAACATAGCATTAAAACATTTTCGTCATGTTAATGTAACGTAATTTTGCTTCTTAGTGATTGAGTTGGAACATACACGGACATGGGTTTTCATTGCTTTTAATTAAAATTTAAAAACTAATTACAAATGTATCTGCACGAAATCTGTTAAGTAATTAATACTTTGTCAATCGAATGTTGGATTTGCAAGTGTTCAAATTAGAAAAAAAAATAAGTTGGTTGGCCCACCGTGTTGCACAGATTTCAAATACTGACATGCGATATTTATTCTGACTTGATCAATAGTTGTAAAGGGCGTTTTATGATAATGTGTACAACTTTTCAATTTTCGATGTACGTTATCGTTTTAAAATTGAAGAAGAACTATTGGTAAGAACGCATTTTCTCATTTTTACTTCACACAATATACAATGCACTAGCCAAATTTTGTATATAATAGTGATGTCTCCGTGATATTAAATAACAGTTATCTAGCCTTAAGAGCAGTGGACAGCATTTGCAAAAATGAAGGGAAAAAAAGTCTAATTATTATGATATAATATAGCCGAGCGGTTAGAGCGCGGAGCTAGGGAGTGGAAGGTTGGCGTTTCGAATTCCATTCGGGCCAAAAACTGGAAAACTCTCTCTGACGACCAAATAGTATGGGTACTTGATTCGTTCAAGGAAGGTAAGACGGCGAGGGGAGAGGACTGGGCCGCGCCACTCACATGCCGCGCCCAAGACACAGTGGACTTCTAATATCCGGATCCCACTGTCCCTACTTTTACCTTTACCTTATCTTGCTATATTTGTAGGTATGTAATAGTATCAAGCATCCTATGAAATCTTGAAATTAGTTTTGATAAGAAGAGGTATTTTGTATAATTTCCAAAGATCGCCCAGCACAAGTTAACATTTACACTCGTTTGAATTTTTTGTAAGTATTACATTTGTTCAGGGGCACAGTCTGCATTTTGCCCTGTAACTACCATAGTTACAGACACTAAAGTATGGGCTGTGACTCATGTGAGTTATTTCAGACAAATTCAGCAAGCCGCACCGTGACGATTGAAACGATCTCTGTGCTGTTTTCTTGTTTAGCTGGTTCCAATGGATATGTTATACAAATTTTACCAGTCCCATGCATAAAATTACCACACATGTAAAAGTTAAATTACAATCCTGTACAATCGAGTAAAGTATACCTCGTACAAATAGGTATCAAGGCTATAAGTGACACACTCACATGAAGATAATAAAATCACAAATCCACTGTGTGATTAGTATGTCTTCATGAATTATTTTAATTGATGTGATACTGTACCATATTTTACAAACTACTCAAATACGCACGTTTACAGTAAACTGTGCTAAAAATGGGAAACAGCATAGTTTTGTTTTAGTGCTCTGCTAATAAAAGATCGCTTTTGATGTTTGAATTTGAACGATGAAATCCTCAAATTAGATTCATGTACGTAACAGAGTGTACAATCCTACGATTTGAGTTGTATAGACTAAAGTTAACCAGGCTACAATATTAAGGCATTTGATGTATTCAGCCTGTAGCCACTACATGTATATGAATTTTTATCAAATAAGGTTAGTCATATTTTGTCGGATTTGACACATAATGCACACAATATGCATTTTTTTTGCACACAATATATTTTTTTTTGGGGGGGGGGCAAAAACGTTGTGCATAATTATTTGGATCCACTTTTGGGGACCACAATTGTGGTCCCCCAAAAGTGGATCCAAATAATTCCGGCGTGCATGGGGTTCGGGGCTCGCTTTTTTTTGGGGGGGGGGGGGAGAAGATTATACAGGGTGGATAAAAAAACCCGAAATCCAAATTTTGGGACTATTGTTTTAGTGAAGTTCTTATTATAATTCGCGTCTTTACTAACAAAACAAGACAAGTGTAAAGAAAACTTAAGTCATTTATGTCACAATCACAGGATTCATTGAATAGCAAAGTGAAAAGACAGTAATTTAACCCATTATTTAAGAGGTAAACCGTTAATCAATTAAAGATAAACAATTCAATGAACGAAACATTAACCAAGGGAACTGGAACTGGTCATGAAAGAAGATCAGAAGAAACGACAGAGGTATCAGTCATCCACTCTGTCGATCCTGACTAAATGTATACATGTATTTGGAGCAAAATATTACACAAGAAAATAATAATCGATTAAAGATAAACAATACAATGAACGAAAAATTAATCAAGGGAACTGGAACTGGTCATGAAAGAAGTTCAGAAGGAAGACGAGAAAGATCAGTCATCTCTGTCGATCCAGACTGTTGCATAATTAATTTCTGCTTCCTACTTCAATAGCTATGCATGTGCAGTTGAAGCCCAGTTGAGTTATGTCACGGACAAGATTAGCGTATTTACTGCACTTATAAGAATAGCACTTTGTAAATCTAGGATATAAAAGCCCAATTCATAATCGTTCTTTTAGTACAGGAATCATTCGAATCACCTGTGTACTTTTTAAGTTCAGGAATTTTAAACACAACCACTGTTTTAAAGTTCTGCCCACGGATCACACAAAAAGGCGTGCGTTCTTTCAGCAAAAAGAAAACAACTCCCACACATCCCCATGTGATTTGTTTTCGTTTTGCTGAAAAAACACTTCCCTTTTTGTGATACGTGAACAGAACCTTAAAACGGCGGTTGTGTTTAAAACTACATAACATGCAAAGTACATGTACTAAAAGAAAGCTTATGAATTGACCATTCATATTCGAGGTTGTGAAAGTGCTACAATTAGAACTTCACTAAAACCATGGTCCCGACATTTGGGTTTCGTTTCTTTGGACTTACCCTGTAGATGCTCTGTGGTGCGATCTGAGTCAATTTCTGACCAATTTAACTATGTTTTTTTTTTTTTTTTTTTTTTTTGGGGGGGGGGGGGGGTTAATATGGTGGTGTACGCAGTGCCTGCCTTTATTGCGACGTCATTTCAAAAGAAAATGGGTTCGTTTTTTTTTTTGGGGGGGGGGGCATGGCCCCCGTCCCCCCCTCCCCCTATCTGCCCTTGTCGTTGGTACGTTATTGAAATAAGTAAATTGTGCATTTTAAGTTTACATAATCCGATCATAGTTGCAGTGTAATGTTGTTCACAATGTTCAAAGAATAAAGTCAACATTCAAACTTATTCTTAAGGGTTGGCATGTAGTCACCCAACCTTGGTTCAGGGACAATTATTTCCTGGCAGTTTCTTGCAAACATGAGTGAAAGGTATGTGTTATATTCCGCCAATCGACATGTTGGCTACTCTACTAACTGTTATTGTGTACTGTCATGACCCCTGACCCGCTCACAGAACTCTGTTACATTCACACACGCGGTGTGTACATTTTCTGGGTGTACATGTACGTGCATTGCTAGTTGTGTAGTGTGTATTGCAGTGTTGAATAAATAGTGCTCTCCAGTGCCGAGCCAAGAAATCAATATTAAACCAGGTTATCACAGTTCATTACAATTTGGCGACGAGGATAGTTGATTACCATGGCTGCCTTGATCGGTAAAATCGAGGAATTTCGCGAAGGAAAGGAGGAATGGTTGCAGTACGTCGAGAGATTGGGACATTATTTTGTCGCCAACGATGTCACGACTGCAGCAAAGAAACAAGCCGTGCTTCTCACTGTGATTGGGCCCGACGCCTACAAGTTGCTTCGCAATCTCGTGGCCCCCGCTAAACCTGGAGAAAAATCGTATGACGAACTGGTCAAATGTATGACTCAACACCACAACCCAGTACTGTCGGAAATCGTCCAACGATTCAAGTTCAACAGCAGATATCGTGAAGAGGGTGAGTCTGTAGCCCAATATATCGCTGCTCTGCGTTCTCTCGCAGAATGTTGTAACTATGGAGGCACATTGGACGATATGTTGCGGGATCGATTAGTTTGCGGTGTCCGAAATGACCGCATTCAACGTAGCCTTCTTGCTGAAAAAATATCTGACACTTGAGAAAGCATTGGCAGCGGCTTTGAGCATGGAGAGAGCGGCCAAAAGTGTGAAAGATTTGCAGGCCACGCAAACCCACAGTGACCGAACATTGAACAAACTGTCGCAAAGCCAACCAACGGTTGCACGAAAACCTGTATTCAATGCAAGTAAGAAGCAACAGCATGTGCAAAAACCCTGTTATCGCTGTGGTAAAGACAACCACCATTCCGACAAGTGCAGATTCAAGAACAATACTTGTTTCAACTGCCAGAAACGAGGACATATCGCAAGTGTCTGGCGCAATGGAAAAAGTGGAAAAACACCACATGTCAAGCAAATGAGTGCCGCTGTGGACAGTAATTTCACTGAAAGTGAAAGTGATGAGAATGCGTCTGATCTTGACATGAACACACCCGTGTACTCGCTCTGCGGATGTTCCACTGACCGCCCAGGCATGAAGTCAATCAAAGTCACCATGTCCGTTGATAACATCGACCTCGTCATGGAGGTTGACACCGGAGCAGCACTTTCGCTTATCAGAACAGACATTCAAGTCACGGTGGCCAAACGCGAACCTGCAAAAGACAAAACTGAAACTCCGCACCTACACCGGGGAACAAGTCTCAGTTCTCGGAAACTTCAACGTGGAAGTTGACTATAACGCAAGTATGTTCAACCTCCCGCTACTCGTTGTTAAAGGCGATGGACCAAGCCTTCTCGGACGAAACTGGCTTCAAGAAATTAAACTTGACTGGCAGCAAATCAACGTTCTGCACACGACTACTAGCCTTGAGAAAGTACTCAAAACTCATTCTGCAGTATTTAAGGATGAGTTGGGTACCTTGAAGCGAACAACCGCCAAAATCTACGTCGACAAGGACGTCCGACCACGATTTTGCAAAGCACGCGTAGTACCCTACGCCATGCGAACATTGGTGGACAATGAACTTGACCGTCTGCAAGCTGCAGGAATCATCGAACCGGTTGAGTTCTCCGAGTGGGCAGCGCCCATAGTTCCAGTCCTCAAGTCAGACAAGTCTTCCGTGAGAATCTGCGGGGACTATAAGCTAACGGTGAGTCAAGTCGCGTAGTTGGATAAATATCCAATACCCAAGCTTGAGGATTTGTTCGCGTCTCTCGTGGGTGGAACCAAATTCACCAAGCTTGATCTCTCTCAAGCATATCAGCAGCTGATTTTGGATGAGGAGTCGCGTAGCTACGGGGTGATTAACACGCATCACGGCCTATTCCGCTACACCCGCCTGCCCTTCGGTATTGCCTCTGCTCCCGCGATTTTCCAGCACACGATGGAGAACATTCTGCAAGGCATACCGCATGTGACTGTGTATCTGGATGATATCCTGATCACAGGCGCCGATGACCAGTCTGATCTGGCTACGCTGTCAACTGTGCTGGCTCGCTTAGAACAAGCTGGCCTTCGCCTCAAGTTGAGCAAGTACACATTCATGGCTCCTTCCGTTGTGTACTTGGGCCATACTATCGACGCTCAAGGTCTGCACCCAACCGCAGATAAAGTCAACGCTATCCGCAACGCACCAGCACCGACAAATGTGACTGAACTGAGAGCATACCTTGGACTGCTTACCTATTATGGTAAGTTCTTGCCTCAGCTTTCGACAACGCTCGCCGCCTTATATCGCCTCTTAGGCAAGGACACCCGATGGAGATGGGGTACTGAGAAAAGCAAGCCTTCAGTTCTTCTAAGGATCTTCTGCTATCGTCGAACTTGTTGGTACACTTCGACCCCAAGAAAGACGTCATCGTGTCATGTGATGCATCCCAATATGGGATCGGCGCCGTTCTCGCCCACAGAGTGCCGGATGGTTCGGAAAAACCAGTCGGTTTCGCCTCACGCACACTGGCTCCTGCAGAAAAGAAATACTCCCAGATTGAAAAGGAGGGCCTCGCCTGCGTCTTTGGTGTAACTAGATTTCACAGTTACATCTACGGTCGTCATTTCACACTAGTGACTGACCACAAGCCTCTTCTGAGTCTCTTCAACGAGGAACGCGCAGTACCGCCCCAAGCCTCTGCTCGCATTCAACGATGGGCACTTACCTTGGCGATGTATGAATACGCGCTTGTGGAAATGCTGACGCGTTGAGTCGTCTACCGCTACCTACCTCTCCAGCCAAAGTTCCGCTTCCAGCTGAGACCGTACTCCTAATGGAGAACATTGACGCGTCCCCTCTCTCCACCACGCACATTCGCAACTGGACTCGACGTGACCCCGTCCTATCCAAGGTACTCCAGTTCGTCGAGGGAGGATGCTGTCCACGTGATAAGGTGGAGGAGGACTTGAAACCGTATACCACTCGTAGTGATGAGCTCTCAGTACAAGACGGCTGTCTCATGTGGGGCAGTAGAGTGATTGTTCCGCCAAAGGGACGTAAACGCGTCCTACAGTGTCTACATGAGGATCATCCTGGGATTGCTAGGATGAAAAGCCTCGCTCGAGGATTCGCATGGTGGCCAAAGATGGACTCCGACATTGAATTCGAAGTCAAGGGATGCCACAATTGCCAACAAAACCAACCGATGCCACCTAAGAGTGAACTGCATCCTTGGAAATGGCCTGAACGCCCATGGTCGAGACTACATATCGACTATGCGGGCCCCTTCCTGGGCAAGATGTTTCTCATCATAGTGGACTCGTATTCGAAGTGGATGGAAGTCTTCCCACTGAACAATGCTACAACACACGCGACCATCGAGCAACTTAGGGTAGCCTTTGCCACCCATGGGTTGCCAGACAAAGTTGTGTCTGACAATGGCACATTATTCACTAGCGCAGAGTTTCGCAAATTCATGACCAAGAATGGTATCCTGCATATTCTCACCTCGCCATATCACCCAGCCTCAAACGGATTAGCTGAGCGTGCAGTCCGTACCTTCAAGCACGCTATGAAGCGAATGGACACAGGGACAGTTGAAACTAAGGTTGCAAGATTCCTGTTTCACTACAGAATTACTCCGCACACTTCAACAGGTCTGTCTCTCGCGGAAATGCTGATGGGTCGACGCTTACGCTCCCACCTTGATCAGCTTCGCCCTGACGTAGCGCAGCGTGTCATCAAACAACAGGAAAAACAGAAACATCATCACGACAAGCACGCCAAGACACGTGTGTTTCAGATTGGTGACACAGTCCTAGTTCGCAACTTCACTAAGACTGGTTACTCATGGCTACCAGGCACCATCGCAGGCTATGCTGGTCCAGTCTCCTACAAGATCCGTCTAGTTCACAATGGTTGCGAGATCAAACGACATTTGGATCATCTTCGCAAACAAGAGAGCGTACCACATGAACCACATCACGAGTCGCACAACCCGGACGACGACATTGACTTTGGGTCTGCTATCGCCATCCCACTTCAAGAACAACCTCCCGTGGAAAATGTCATCCCTCCAGCAACCAACGACCAGCCAGAACCACAAGCACCGGCAGAACCAGAACCACACGCACCGGCCGAACCTGAACCGCAACCTGTTCCACCAGCTGACAGGAAATACCCAGCTCGCATCAGGAATGCACCTGACCGCTATGGATTCAAAAACACTTAATCTGCATGTTCACATAGGTTAAGTACAGCTGCACACATCTGAGGCAGAATAATCCTCAGTGCAGTTTGTTGCAAGTCAGGGTAGTCTACCCATGTACTTACTTAAAAATTTATCATGTTTGTTATTTGTTGTAAGTTGCAAAAGTTTTTAAAAACACATAACAGTTTTCGATTCAGCCTGGATAAAGTGATTTCCATAACAATCAGTTGTGCTAAGATTTTAAAATTGATCCATAACTTGCTTTACATAAGTTAAAGCTTTAAAAATGGACAGGTTTCATTATTGGGAGGAGGAGTGTAGGCCCTAATATTCCGCCAATCGACATGTTGGCTACTCTACTAACTGTTATTGTGTATTGTCATGACCCCTGACCCGCGTACAGAACTCTGTTACATTCACACACGCAGTGTATACATTTTCTGTCTGTACATGTACATGTACGTGCATTGCTGTAGTTGTGTAGTGTGTACTGCAGTGTTGAATAAATAGTGCTCTCCAGTGCCGAGCCAAGAAATCGATAATAACCAGGTTATCACAGTTCATTACAGTATGTAAGTGATATTTTTATTTTACTTTAAGTCTGTTTGAGGTAAATTTAAATGGGTGATTGTTTTAAACTTGAGATTGATGGAGATGGTTGAAAACAAATTAATATTGTCAGTTATCGTTATGTACTGACTAAACTGTTGTCAACATGTTGACTCCCTTCATCTGTCAGTTACGAAATGTTATCTATTCATCTTAGAAAGTTCCTTTTGCAACCATTAATACCACTTTGAGGTTCCATCTTTTGTGCTTTTATTGGCGCATTTATTGCACTGAACAATATTTCAGCTCAAAAGATGACAGTCAAATGCAAGGGATAGGCCTATATTCTTACTGATCGTGTCGGCGTGTGCTGTGCTACTGCTTCTGCTGATATCAGTGCTCTTTTTGTTCCTGTTGCTCTTGTTGCTCCTGCTCTTGTTGTTGCCGTTGTCATTTGAAACTCGGACTCCGTGAACATCGGACTCACTTTCCTTTTTATTGGTGAAACCCACTCAAGTGACCGGTAACCGTTGAATTATCTTCACTAAGGCATGTGCAATACCACCACTGAGCCCGTATTTCATAGAAACCTAAATTAACGTTACACCGTTATTGCAAATCGTAGACTGAGCAGCCCTGGCCGGGAGTAGGCCTAAGCTCGGCATCGACCGAGGCCAGGCCATGGATCGATCGAGGCGACACTGTCCATTTCCCTGCGCGTAGTCGAATGAGACACACTCGGTATGTTGGTTGCAGCAGCCGGCGCATCGCGCAAACGATTTAACCGCCTTATTAGTCGACAGGGGCTCGGAGTTGCCGATCAAGGCTCCCTCGTGCGTATTTGAGAAGATCGCTGACTTGGTCTTGAATGCCTTTTCGTCATTACTAGGATCTAAAGAGGGAATGAAAAGTAAACTTCAGTATAGACTCCATGGACAAGTAAAATGAAACATCAGCATCGCCTACCATCTTGCCTCAACGTGCTGGTGTGCGTGCATCATAACTCGATTAACAGCGCATGAGCCAGCGAATGGAACGCCCATCCATGGATACACCAGTCGTCTCAGATGCCATTGCACTCGTCTGCCCAGAGTCCATAAAGGATGCACTCATGTATTAATGGCAATCAACATGTCATCTTTCATCTGCGTTTCATTTTGTGGTGATTTGACAATTGACTTTTCGAGAAATTCTCACCCAAAGAAAACGACCCCTATGATTTCCAAAGCGGAAACGTATTCATCTTGAAAAAGATCCCTCCACAACATGGCAAACTAGCACCACTTTGTCCCTCAATTGCGTCTAAAATGCTAAGAATTGGAAGTCAAAAGTCCGGGCCAGAGGTTCATTGCCATATCTCTTCAATTCCCGAGTTGTACGGCTCTCAGCACTCTCTAATATATAATACTTTGAGGGTATAACTTTTATTCATGAGCTCGGCGGATGGGTTTAGGCCTATTTACAGGTGAAATTCACGAGCCTTCGAATACGTTGTGCCATTGCCGTGCCGCATTCAATTCAACTCGAAGTTTGGGCAAACATTTTAGGAATGCGCATGCTAACAACATCCAATCACGCGTCCGTATTACGGCGAGGGAAATTGGCGCAAACATTTTGATCGCCCTTAAAGTTCATTCAACTACTTAAACCTTGCCCATCATTTCAGATGCATTAAGGTTCGACTATTACTCATTTGTATTTCATTTAAGTTCGGCGCTGCAGTAGCACTGGGTCTAGCAATGGTAATAGTCACCTACTGAATTCAGCAGACAGACTTCAAACCCGTTTTTCTCAAAGCTTGGGCTAAGTTATGTCAACTAACTGTTTCTACACACTGCAGTCGTGAACTCTTCTACTTCCACCTCAGTGAGTTGCAGAAATGCATCCGTGACATCGGACATATTGGGAACTATGTCCAAGCTGACGTACCTGGCCGTCCGCGGTGTCTCGCACAGGAACGGGATCTTGGCTCCTTGCTAAGACTGTTCGTTGGTAGCCGGTGAGCCGCACGACAGGTTCTCGGTGAGGTTGGGGCTCAGTCCGGCTCGCACTAGCGCCCGAGTGAAACAAAAACCTTTAGAGGAAAGAACATTTCTACTTTTGTAAATTGTAATACATTTTCGCACATTTAAAAAGGAAACAAAACTTATACGAATACTTGGGGATGAAGGGGGGGACCAGGTTGGCATAGCAGCACTTAATCGCCTTCCACCGCCGTAACCACCTAGGCCATTATGTAGACTGGTTTCTAGTCCCCTCCTGATTCCGTGGGTTTTCCCCTAGAATGTCATTCTGGGGTCTTCCCTACACCACTTGAAGTATAATTCCATTTCACATCTTTTACAAAGAGACATCACCGGAAAATAAAAGTCGGGAGAATTTCGTGGGCTATTCCAGCAAATTGCCGAATAATTACAAAACAAAACATATTAAGTACATTTACCCCCGCATGCTGAGGTAGGTGCTGATTCAGGTAATGATGGTGAGAATAATGAAAATAGGCAGAAGGGGAGACTGGGAGTGGGAGGGGTGGAAATGGCGGTGGGGTGGAGGAGGAGGGATGGCGATTGGCTTTGGGAGGCGGATGTAGATAGGGATAGGATGGAGAATGGGTATGGGGATGGGGATCAGTATGGGGACGGGGGTCCAAAACACAATTTGTGCGCGAGTCAGCCTCGATTCTTTTTTGAATCACCAATCTGCAACTGAAGAGTACCCAAATAGTAAGGCACGAAAGCATGCCGTTGCTAACAAGAGGTTTTGCGAATATAATCCTCTGCTCGCACCCGAAATCACATTTGATTACCCAACCTGCACTAGTCACTCAATCTCGTATGTCCGCCCACTCTCACTTTTAATCAGAAAGTTGTGTTCATACAGAACAAGAACAACGACGTCAACACGCCATTGTTACTACCTAGTCAACTGTTCACATTTAAGCATTTTATAGAACGGCCGTCGTCAACCTGCCACATGAACTGTGGTTTGCAAGTGACCGGTTCAAAATCATTTTTCTGCGACTTTTCAAGTTCTAGATCTGCATGGACAAGATGCTGCTAGCAAACTCTCGAGTGTGGGATGCACAGGTGGCAGTTGTGTGGGCTGGGGACACTAAAAATAGTGAGCTTTGCATGTTTAACAGATTTAATTTCTGCAATCTTTTCTTGAATACGTCAAGCGAGGGAGCCTTTCTCACAGACGACTGGAGGAGGTTCCATTCTGCTGTAGTTCAGGAGAAATATTCGTAACAGTCCTTGTTTGCTGATTCTCAGAGAACCAGGTTTTCGTTGATGTAAGTTTTAATATAAGGAAAAAGAGGAGTAATGGCAAGCAAGGATTTCATCGACACTACTGGATTAATCACAATATTCCTTATCAGCCCCGCCCTGGTTCTCTAAGAGACGTACTCGAAGAAGAGAATGAGTGATCTACACGGGGCATCAGCAAGGGATGAGGATCGAGGATCAGAGACAACCCGTTTTAATGGTAATCGCTCATCTCAAGGACAATAGAAGGCCACTGAAGACACGGGCTACAAAGAAAGTAAGCTTCGCGTTTGTTGAGTTACAAAACACAGAGTGGTCAGGCAGATAACATTACACACTGCCCAGTTAAGTTATGAATATTTGACAGAACTAAGTGGATCACGAAATGTTACCTATTTAGTACGAAGAATTATTTAGTTGATTTTTTTTAAAAACATTCATCTTTTATGCCGAGTGTGACAAATTTGAGTACACATTGTTTGTACACGTACAAGTTATTTCTGGTTTAATGACGTCATCAGTCAAAACGGGGAAGTGGATGCTGATTTATCTCGGAGATGATGCATGTTCATTATGAAGTTAAAATAGCTAATGAAAATATGGAAATTCAAGTGTATGTATTATAAATGTGGGGATCTGCCTATTTGCAATCTATTTACACTCTCACTTTCAACTGTTTATTCTAAAGCTAAAGTGGTCCGGTTAACATTGTTAACTTATTTCTTATGATGGGACTGCGGTTTGGCCGAAGTCAATTGAGCGTGATCGGCTGACTGACAAGATTTACGTAAAACAAACCCGAGCCAACGAGGTTTTTGTATAGAAAGCTGCTGGACCACATTTTGTGAGAGTGTGTCCGTAATGCTTGAAGCCTGCCGGTAATGCTGAGCTTGCATACTGCCAAAGTTACCAGTGGCATCCCTATATGATTTTCTTGTGCAAATAGGACCCATTTTGGACCCTAATTTTATCAAATCTGCTCTTAGATAATAGCCCAAAAGCTAGGGAGATGATCCTCGGCTATATTTGCACGATTCCACAGATTTTTAAACGAGACGGTCTCGTTTTTTTACAAAAAAGTTGTGGGGGTACTTTTTGAGCAAATTAACGACTCGCGTAGAAATGTTTGAAACCCCCACACCAAAAAATAATAGTACTTAAATACTGTTAAAAATGTGCTCGTTCATTCAGAAATTCATGAAGCAA